CTGCGTGACAGTTTCCGGCGAGGAGTGGGTGTTCTTACAGGAGGTCCTGAAACCTCCCCACTGTTTTCGCTGGAAGTGTCTCTGAGCCATCCCTCCAGCTCAGCTCCTCTCCCCCTGCTGGTTCCCTCTTCAGCTGCTGCGTCTCTCCCAACCTGTGTGAGCCCTTTCACCTCCCTGCTGGTTCCCTCTTCAGCTGCTGCGTCTCTCCCAACCTGTGTGAGCCCTTTCACCTCCCTGCTGGTTCCCTCTTCAGCTGCTGCGTCTCTCCCAACCTGTGTGAGCCCTTTCACCTCCCTTCCGTCCGATGGCAGTTCCCTGACAACTGGGCAACAATTTTTTACTTTTTGAATGTTGTCTAGATTTCTACAACTGATTTAGGGTATTTTTGCACTGCTGAATGAGGAAATGGCATCCGTTTCTCTCCATCAGGTCAGGTTTTTGTGCTATGTTGATTTGAAAAAAATCAGATCTTGTGACAAAATCAATTACATTTTTGTGGCATTATCAGCTGATTTTGGTCAGCACATATCATCCTAAATATGTTTTTAAGAGAAAAAAAATGTTTTTCCAACAACATATATTGATTACCTGATAGAAACATCGATTACTGCAAACTGAATGGTGGGCATTGATAAAGGTAAGTATACGTAAATTGCATGTTGCTTCACCATTTTTCAAACTTCAGGGCTTGAACTTCCGTTTCTTGGAACTCCTGGAATGCTCAGTGGCAGGGAGGTCTCTCTTCAGAGTTAAACAGTAGTCAGCCATCATGACTGCGTCCCAGCAACCCTGATACCTGGTCTCCAGGAATCTCTCCCCCTGCTTGTCACTCATTGAGCCCAGGTTCTCAGGAAACCGGTCCATATGTGAAAATAGGTAGTGCATCTTGACGCTCATGTTGCAGCCCAGGTTTCTGAAAGCAGTCAGCATGTTGTTGACAAGTTCTACGTAGTTTCTGGCCTTATTGTTGCCAAGAAAGTTCTTCACTACCAGAACAAATGCCTTCCACGCTTCCAGTTCCACTTCGTTCATTGAGTTTCCGAACTCTGGATCCCTGATGAGCTGATGGATCTGAGGACCGTCAAAGATGCCAGCTTTCAACTTCTCCATGGTCAATCCTGGAAAAGCCTGGCACAAGTAAGTGAAGCAGTCACCATCCTTGTCCAGAGCCTTGGTGAACTGCTTGATTAAGACGAGCTTGATGTGCAGCGGTGGGAAGAGTATTCTGTCTCTGTCCACCAGAGGGTCATTGATGACGTTCCTTTTTCTGCAAGGCACCAATTCCTCCCGCACAGGCCAGTCCTTCTTCATGTAATGCTGAGCACGGTCCCTACTATCCCACATGCACAGAAAACATGGGTACTTGGTGAAGCCAGACTGTTGTCCCAACAAAAAGTTCACCATCTTCAGGTCAACACAAATAAACCACTTATGCTGATCATAACCAATTTTCTCCAGCACATACCTCACCCCTTCATAGTTCTCCTTCGGTGTACTCGAGTGAGCCAGGGGTTTTGATCCCCCAACGTTATGCTTTGCCGCACCAATTTATGGAAGATTTAGAGGTTTTATGACTTCAAACTGATCCCTTTTCGACATAATCACCCAGAACTATCGAACCTGAATACTTCTTGTCATTAAAATAATCATTTCCGATCAAAACAATTATTCAACATGGCATTTTACCCCCACCAACTTCTTCTAAAATGCTCCACACAAGCGTATATGTGAACAAAAATGTAAAAAAACTGACATGTGGCCATAACTTGACCTGATTGAGCAAAACCAGTGTGATTTTTGGATTCAGCGCATCAGATTCGTCCTAAATCAGCTGAAAAAACGCAGACAACAAATTTGTTGTTGACCAGTGTAATTGTTTGCAACACAGGGGTTTAATTGTTTGGTTACTTATTTATAAAATGGACCGGGACACCTTCAAACAGAGAACTGTACCCTGAAAAGTAGGACCCGTGGTCAACCCTACAACCACCAACCACTCAGTTTTTGGGTGATATCCTAAGGAAAAGCAGGACATTCTGGGATAAGATCAGAAACCAGGATGGCCTCTGTAAATCTGGAAGGATCTGCCAGCTACACTTCTCTTTTTTAAAATTCAGCCCTGCCTCCACTTCTCTTAAATCGTCTGAAAGCCTGGTCCATCGCTGAGAAACCTCTTTGAAAATGCAGGAGTGGGATTCCTCAAACGATAAAGAGGTGTGTACACACACACACACACACACACACGCAAATTCCCACCGTAAATTTAATTCTCAGTGTCATTCTTTTAAATAATGGGTCCTGCTGGTAACATTCTGAGTTATTAGCCAATGGCTGATTGAATTTGGTTCCTTACCGCCACATCCCTCAGCAGTGAAACAACAGTAGCAGAAGGCATTTTATGGCTTCTCCTATATTTAGTACCTTTCAAGTGAAGATATTGTGGGGCTGTATATTATTTTGTGGGCTTGAGTTAACGATTTGCACCATATATTATTTGCAAGTGCACCTTCGCTTTTGGGAAAGCTCCGCGACGTTTGGTTTTATGCTATCTGCCTCGGCTGTAATTAGAAAATGGTGTGCTTCTTCCACGACCTCCCCCATTAAAAACATATTTCGAACCAGACAATACTGTGTAATTCTCTCTGGAAGCCGCTAAAAAGAGAGAGAAGATTTTTCAAGGCATTGTCATTCAACTCTTCTCACTGTTCTCAGTGCCCAGTCACTTGGGTGGTCCTTTCCCACTTGCCCCCCACATCAATATACTCACTGGGTTTCTTGTTTTTAAGAGAAAAATGTGTAAGCGACTGCAGCAGAAAAGCTGGAAAATAATTAGATCGAAAGTACCATTGCAGTCTTGTACTCAGCAGCCCTGGGTTACTCCATTCCAGAGTTTCCCAAACTTGGGTCTCCTGCTGTTTTTGGACTACAACTCCCATCATCCCTAGCTAGCAGGAGCAGAAGTCAGGGATGATGGGAATTGTAGTCCAAAAACAGTGGGAGACCCAAGTTTGGGAAACCCTGCATTAGGCAATGAAAAAGGAGCTATCATCTTAGCAAAAGAAAAGTTCTGCTTGGTTTCTCTCTCTCTCTCTCTCTCTCTCTCTGTCTAATAGCTGTTGCTTGAATGATATGCCTGGGTCACAAATTGGGGGTGAAATAATTGGGTGAAATTGGGGGGACAGTGACATATTGGGGCATCACCATGTTTGTCATGGTCATGAGATTCGGAGCACACCTCTAATAGTTTGGAAACATTTCTATAATTGAAACCAACCTAACATTAATTTGTCCACCGATAAACCTTTTAAGTTTAAACCATTTGTTGGTGGAAACTTAGGTGCCACCCCTTATGCACATATCACCTATGAGCAAGGCCTTTAGAACACAGCAGCACTTATTGCGAAGTAAACTTGCATGGGACTGGGCTGAAAATGTAAAGTGTGACTCACATTTTAAGTTAATTTATGTCAGATGTGTTCATTTTGGTTCCACATTTGCTTTCCCCAACAAATCTGCTAGCTAATGAATATTACGGGCAAGAACATTTGCTTAAGCAGTTGTTGTTTTTTAAAAAATGATCCTGGAAGAGAGCTGTAAAAAGACACTTTCTGGCTTTGGAATACTGATACTAGAAATTTGATTCTAAGGCTTGCATTCATCCAGTCGAGAAGGCTGTATCAAGTGGCCTTTGTGTCCAATCACGTCTAACCAAAAATGCTTTGAATTTCCGCGTTTGCAATGAACTTCACAAGCAACATGTCCTTAGCAATAAAGCAATCCCTAGGCAGTTCTTGGAAGCAGGTCAGAACATGAAAGTCTAAAAAGTGTTCCAAAGTATTAGATGGATGTGTCAGTGTGCTGCATATACACGTATCTGTGCCTCAGGATCTTTAAGTGTCAAAGGAGAGAACACACAAATGTAAATACCTAAACCTGGCACAACCTAGCTGCAGAATTGCCACTTAAAGGGAACTGGCTTGGCTATGGAATGTTAAATGGAACGCCAAGGGATCTGTTTTGGGTCTCTGTAAACAGATGTTTCCTTCCTATATGAAGGCACCTTGCAGGGAATTACTGGCTAGTCTGAAGGTGCTGCAGTCCCACCTGCTGAACGCAGAGGAAATGTTCAGGAAAAATAGAAGGGAGCTTTTCTTTAATTAGAACATGAAAACACAACATATCACTTTTCCTCCTAGTGGGGGGGGGGGGGGAAGAGTTCCCTTAAGCAAAATAGTGTTTAGGGTGTTTTTTTTTATTAAAAAAACCACACAATCAAATTCATTTTTAAATGGCTTCCCTTATTTTAATACTGGGAGGAGGGGAAAGTACATACAGTGGTACCTCGGGTTAAGTACTTAATTCATTCTGGAGGTCCGTACTTAACCTGAAACTGTTCTTAACCTGAAGCACCACTTTAGCTAATGGGGCCTCCCGCTGCTGCCGCGCCGCCGGAGCACAATTTCTGTTTTCATCCTGAAGCAAAGTTCTTAATCTGAAGCACTATTTCTGGGTTAGCGGAGTCTGGAACCTGAAGTGTATGTAACCTGAAGTGTATGTAACCCGAGGTACCACTGTATAGGGAAAGCGGTTTGTGTGGTGTGCATTTTTTGTGTAACGTTTGCTTCTTAGAATGCTGAAAATTCAAAGAAAATGGCTGGTTTCTGGAGATGTTGGGAACTGGAGTCCAACAACAGCTGTATGGCAACCTTTTACCAAACATATCTCTATAGGAAACAGATGAAATTATGTGCCTTATTACTAGAGTCTTTCCATTTCGTCCCGTCTAGGAAAATACCCACTTACTTTCCATTTTATTTTGCCTGTCAAATTGTTTTTCACGGTGTTTGTGTGTGTTAAGTTTTCAGTGATCGGTACAATTTGCATCTGCCTTTGATTTTACCCGAAGGGAAACCCAGATGTTGAAGAGCAAAAAAATGCAGACTTAAGTATTAATAAAAGACGTGGCTGGGTGGTTTGCCTTCGTCTTCAGAATCTCAGAACGTGTCTGTTATGTACTGAAGTTCTCACCCTGGGCCAGCAGGGGGATACTGTAGATAGTTATGCAAATGAAGGATCGAAAAGTGACCTTCAGTGATTGGATAGTTTTGTATGCAAATGAAGGATTGAAAAGTGACGTTCAGTGATTGGATAGTTTTAGAACGTTGCAGCAGTTACAATTGTTCTGTAGCTCTATATAAGCAGGCTGACTGAGCTCCTCAGCTTAGTTCTGTTCCAGCTTACAAAATAAAGAGCTGCTTTGGAGAAATCGCGGTGTCGTCTGCTATGTCAACCCACAACTTAATAGTTTCTGTGTGTCTGTGATGAGAATCGTTAAGTTTGAGTTTTTCACATGCAAGTGGAGAAACAAGTTAAAAAACAAAAACAGAGCAAACAAAAAAACACTCCCCAACAAAAATCATTGTAGTCTGAGTCTGCTCCACATCTCTTTACTGTATTTTTGAAAGCTTGATTTGGTCCATTACTTCTGAAAGGCCATTTCTTGTGTATTGGTCTTGCTGCCAGTATTATACAAGGAGGTATTGCATGCTCTACTCCAGGCATAGGCAAACTTGGTCCTCCAGATGTTTTGGGACTACAACGCCCATCATCCCTGGGGGAAGTAACCTGATATTGAGATATATATATACATGGGTACGCTGGGAGCACACCATTGGATTTGCCTTCTTGTTGGGTCAAACCATGCTGCAGGATTGCTGCTGAAGTCCAGAGACAATCTTCGTATCCCTAGTAGACAGTCTTTATCTGAGCTTGATGATAAATTCCTCCCGGCTGGTATTTTTTCTATCTTTCTGTAAGCAAATTCACTTTGGAGTTCAGAGAGAGAACATATCCTAATAACACCTTTTCTGGGATACTGATAAAAGCTAGTGTATAGTTTGAGGAGAAAGGAACAAGGAGGCTTTGTTTTTCTCAATTGTGTATAGCATGGAGAAATTCAACCAAACATACAGAGGAAGAACTTCCTCAGTACTAGACAGCACATGTGACCTCAGTGAAGTCCCTACCACTCTGCTTGGTTGCTAAGCAACACCTCCACTCATCACAGTCTGGCCTGGTTCACTTTAACACTAACATAATTAACTCTTAAATTACAAACTGAATGAACCCTGCTGTAGCGCTTCCAACACTTAGCCTTGGACACTGTGAACATGTTATCCTCTCACATTGTTTGCAACATCTACCTGGCACGAGACACTTAGGGGACTTAGAAATCTGCCTTACAGAGGAGCAGACATTTGTCCATCTACCTCATTTTTCCCTAGCTCTCCATGACCTCAGAGGTCATTCGTGTTACCTGCTATCTGACGCTTTTAGCTAAGGTCTCCTCTTTGATGAAATGAGTTCAAAGCTCACAGGTGCACTGGAGCCATTTCCTAGGGGCCAAGGTCCCTTCAGCCTCCCCAAAAAAATATTTGAGGGGGCAGCCTCCCATTGATGTGCATTGGTGTGTGTGCATATCACAACACGCACCGCATCCTGCGGTTAGGTGGGGCAGGGCTTACCTGGCCTCCCTCAATATTTTATTCAAGCTGGCACAGGTGTGAAGTGGCCCTTTGGACCATATCTTGTGTGGAACAGATAATGAGAAGCCATTAAAAATTATTATTTTGAAGGTCACTGCAGAATGTCCCAGATTCTATCTCCAGGTGGAGCTGAGGAAGACTTGAAACCCTGGTGAGTTGCTGTCTCAGTAAAAGGCAGCTTCCTATGTTCCTTATGGTACATACTCTGTCTCCTTGCTAATGTGTATAATCACTTCCATGGGATACAACTGATGCTCTGTGTAATTATAAAAATGAGTAGAAACAAATGTGGCCTGTATCCAAAACACTGAAAACGGTGGAAGAATGCTGAAAACAAAGAAGGGAAAATGTCTCTGTGTGTAGAAAAATCTGGGGACAACACAACACACACACACATGCTCAAGAGAAAAATAACAGCATTGCAAGTGTTTTCGAACTACACAACGTAACTTTTGCTGTGGGAAAAGGGGGCAGAAAAGAAGCAGCACGACTGATCTGGTTCCATCTTTTGCAAGTCAGTAGCAACAACAAAAAAAAGGTCACCGTTTCTAACTGCGTGGTCTGCATTTCAGAAACTTTCTTCCGTGGGAAAAAATGTATCAATGACTAGGGGTGACTCAGTCCTCTCACCACAAGGAACCTGTACTTAAGCGTGATTATAGAAAGCTGTGCTGCGAAGGAAATACCCCATCGTTTAAGGCCCAACGGTGGGGACATCCTTTCTCCCTCAGCCTGATGTCATGGTGGTTTCTGCGGCAGAGGATATTTTCAACCGAGGCCAAGCCAATCAGGCTCTGCTTGGAAGTATTTTTCCCATGCATGTGATTGGTTGTTACTCTAGAACTGGTGATGGGTAATGGCGACAGGGACGTGGGGTGGGGTTAGGAGCCGCAGAAATGATTGCCCGTTGCATGGTTTTAGTAAGCTCTCGACACTGGGCAGATCCCTGATGCGCTCATTAAGACCCCATTCTAATTTCTAATGACCCATCAAGCACATATCGCAGTCTAATGGAGAGGTGGGGAACTTTTCTTTTCCCGGCTTCAGGTCCACATCCCCTTCTTTGAAGGGCCACATGGCAGTAGGAGGTGGGGTCAGAGGCAAAGTTGGCAGAGCAATGGGTGCAAATTTTACTTTTGTTCGACGGGCTAGGGCTCAGCTACATTAATAATAATAAAAAGCATTTTAAATGCGTTATTACACAGTGACACCAAATGGCGCTGTAGAGTTCTGTCTTTCGGCAACGTGAAATTCCCCATTATAAGGTTTACAATGCGTTTTCCTGAAACGCCTTTTTGATGTGTCTAGATCCAGCCCTAGTTTCTACAACACACACACACACACGCCCAAACAAATCCCTGATTGGAGGTTGATCCAGGCTGGTCTCATCACCTCCTGGCAAATAGAAGGGGAAGAAATGGAGGCAGTGAGAGATTTTACCTTCTTGGGCTCCATGATCACTGCAGGTGGTGACAGCAGCCACGAAATTAAAAGACGCCTGCTCCTTGGGAGAAAAGCAATGACAAACCTAGACAGCATCTTAGAAAGCAGAGACATCACCTTGCCAACAAAGGTCCGTATAGTTAAAGCTATGGTTTTCCCAGTCGTGATGTATGGAAGTGAGAGCTGGACCATAAAGAAGGCTGATCGCCAAAGAATTGATGCTTTTGAATTATGGTGCTGGAGGAGAATCTTGAGAGTCCCATGGACTGCAAGAAGATCAAACCTCTCCATTCTGAAGGAAATCAGTCCTGAGTGCTCACTGGAAGGACAGATCCTGAAGCTGAGGCTCCAATACTTTGGCCACCTCATGAGAAGAGAAGGCTCCCTGGAAGACCCTGATGTTGGGAAAGATGGAGGGCACAAGGAGAAGGGGACGACAGAGGACGAGATGGTTGGATAGTGTTCTTGAAGCTACCAGCATGAGTTTGACCAAACTGCGGGAGGCAGTGGAAGACAGGAGTGCCTGGAGTGCTCTGGTCCATGGGGTCACGAAGAGTCGGACACGACTAAACGACAAAACAACAACAAAACAAAACCCAATTATGAAAAATCATAGCATTCTCATCAATCGCACAGCTTGGATGAGTAATTATCATTACATCTTTATCGCAAAAACTACTACTCCTACCCCTAACAGCTTATCTGCTAATAACCACCTCCATATTCCTAACTCTTATCATCTCCACACCACTAAAGACTTAGGAATAATGTGGACAACCTCTCCAGCACTTACCACTACCGCAATAATTACCCTAATATCACTTGGGGGCCCTCCCCCCTACTAACAGGCTTCATACCAAAATGATTAATCCTAGAAGAATTAACAGCCAACCACCTCACCCCACTAGCAACTATACTCACCCTAACCTCTCTACTCAGCTTAATATTTTATATACACCTAACATATGTTACGTTAACTATCTTCCCTAACACAACCAACAACACAATAAAATGATGATTTAAACCAGCTAAACCAACCAACCCAACCCCAACAATAATAGTTACATCCCTCCTCATCCCTCTCACACCATTAATTTATACCTAGAAACTTAGGTAACATTCAAACCAGAGGCCTTCAAAGCCCTAGAGGTCTAAAACACCTAGCTTCTGATAAGACCTATTCTAATATACATCTTCTGAATGCAACACAAACACTTTAATTAAGCTAAGGACTATCTAGATGGGCAGGCCTCAATCCTGCAAAATTTTAGTTAACAGCTAAAAACCCAACCCAGCGAGTTTCCATCCACCCCTTCCCCCGTTAGAAAAAAAAATGGAGGAAGCCCCAGAACCTTTATAGTACTTCTCCAAATTTGCATTTTGGCGTGTGAACACCACGAAGCTTCTTCCTATTCGGATAGGAGAGGGAATCAAACCCCCACGTGGGGGTCTACAGCCACCCCCTGACCATTCAACCACCCTACCTGTGTCCTTAATTCGTTGACGATTTTCAACTAACCATAAGGATATCGGCACCCTATATCTCCTATCTGGCGGCTGGGCTGGTATGGTCGGCACAGCCCTTAACCTTCTAATTCGAACATAATTCAGTCAGTTAAGGCACACTTCTTGGGGACGACCAGGTGTACAATGTTATTGTAACAGCTCATGCCTTCGTTATAATCTTTTTCTTTGTTATACCTGTTTTAATTGGCGGATTCGGAAACTGATTGGTCCCTTTGATAATTGGTGCTTCTCATATAGCATTTCCACAAATAAATAACATGAGCTTTTGACTACTCCCCCCCCCCCCCCCGCTTACACCTACTCCTCTCATCCTCAGGTATTGAGGCCAGTGCAGGCACCGGCTGAACTGTATACCCCCATTAGCCGGATATTTCTGATTTGATCCCAGAATATACCACATTTCCTTAAGACATCCCTATTTTCAACTGATAAATATTGGAGGGCATGGAGTTATGCAACCCCCTGAGCAAAGTAGATACTATTATTATTATTATTATTATTATTATTATTATTATTACAGTGGTACCTTGGTTTTCGAACAGAATGCGTTCCAGGCACTGGCGGAGGAAGGTGGGTGCAGTGGGTGCGGTCTGCCCTGGGTGTTATCCCTGAGGGGGGGTGACATCACTGCCCCGCCCCTCTGGGATGTTCGCCCCACCCCCGTGGGCAGCTAGCCTCATCCCTGGGTGCAAAGCATGTGCGCCACTCCGGGTGCCAGAGCAGCTAGCTCCGCCTCTGGTTCCAGGAGTCTGTTTGACTCTTGGAACAGTTCGAAAACCAAAGCGCGGCTTCTGATTGGCTGCAGGAACACTCGTTCTCGAAAAGCGGAACAGTCACTTCCAGGTTTTGATCGTTCAGGAGCCAATTTGTTCGGGATCCAAGGTGTTCGGCTTCCAAGGTACAGTGGTGCCTCGGGTTACATACACTTCAGGTTACATACACTTCAGGTTACAGACTCCGCTAACCCAGAAATAGTACCTCGGGTTAAGAACTTTGCTTCAGGATGAGAACAGAAATTGTGTTCCGGCGGCGCAGCAGCAGCGGGAGGCCCCATTAGCTAAAGTGGTGCTTCAGGTTAAGAACAGTTTCAGGTTAAGAATGGACCTCCGGAACGATTTAAGTTCTTAACCAGAGGTACCACTGTACTACTTCTTCTTTTCAAGCAATCAGCAATAAATTATCTCCAGACACTGTTGCAGATTTAGGTCTATATAGGGCCTGCAAAAGAGTGTCTTCTCCTCCTTCATCTGGCATTTGGAAGTTTGCCGTGGCTTGTAATTAGCACATCACATATGGAGACAAATGGTGTGTGTGTGTATATACACACACACATATATATCTGAAAGGTTTCACAGTAGATTTCAGAAATACATATCACAACACGAGCACACAAACCCATATATCTTGCCACTGATTTTTTATTTTTTTTTGAATGAACCACTAACAGCTCAACTTAATTTGTTTCTTTGTAGAAGAAGATCTTTGAACCTCCTGTGTGTGTGATGCCTTCTGCAGATTAGGACTGTTGTGTGCCTGCTTTGGGGAAATTTGTTCCATCTCCCTGCCACCCTCTTCCCTCCCTCCTTCCCTCCTTCCACTGATAAGACATCTGTAAACACTCTCTGAAACTCTTAACAGAGCCTCCTCTGTATGTTGCTTTGAAGGAGATCTGCATGAAGACCTCTGTACCAATTTGAAAATATCTTGCAAACTGATAAAGAAGTGAAGATACAGCCCAGCATCCGCTGTGTAATAAGGATTAGGAAACCCAAGGATGTTTGCTAGGCTTGGAGATTGACTTGAAATAGATGGGAGTCTGGGATTCAATCAGAACTAATCTGATTCCTTCTGATGGCGGAATCGGCCTGCACCCTCCCCAAACACATATCCATAATAAATATTCAGCCCTTCAAATCAAAATTGAGTAGTTTAATTTTAACAGCAGTTTGGAGTATTTAAACTACCCTCTCTTCATTAAGACATCAGATGGCTTAGTGGAAACATCTGCCGGCATAATGTAACTAGAGGATCAATGATGGAATTCTCTGAGATATGTTGGGTGGGGTGGCCCAAATTTGAATTTTGGCTAGGAATGCTATCCCCAAATTCCTATTAGCATTTCCAAAGGACCTCAGATATCTATAGGTGCCCCTGTGTAGGTGATTAGTCGATTCAACAAAACCCCAAAGGCTCTGATTTGATTTGACTGATGATAAAATGGACCATATTATCCATTGTAGCTAATTGTATTCAGGGATATCAAGCATACTTTAACTAATGGGGGAGAAAAAGAGTGAGCCTGGTCAAAGCTTATTTGAAGAAATGGCATGTTTTAAAAGCTGACATGACTTAAAACAGAATCATATAAGTTCCTTGCTAAGCCACTTTCAGGATATATTAGGTATAACAATAGTTTTCTACATGAAAATGGCTTTGAAAAAATCTCCAAAGAAAAGTATTTTAAAAGAAAAGATTTTTTTTTTTGGTGCGCATTAAATTGGATGTGAATTTGACAGATTTCAAAGACTGTCAAAATAACGAATTTACATCATAAATGTGCAGGCTTCCTTTTTAAAGGCTCTTCAACAACTCAGGAAGGCATTTAATGGTGAGCAAGTTCAAAGTGTCACGGACTCCCACTGGTATAAAAAGAAGGCAATACCTACGATAGTCTCTCTGTTTCAGATAATGTATCTGTCTCCTTTTCAAGTTAATAAACTGCACTCCTGTCAAATTGCAGATAAATGAAAGCGACCAAGACATTGTTTTCCCCACATATTGCTAAGAAAGATATCTCCCAATATTTCTGAACTACCAGTATGCTAAAGAGAACTTAAAATGAATCTACCCTGCAGTTATTTTACAGCATCAAAGACAATGAAATTTCCACAGAGGCACTTTCTGAAGTTTTAAAAGCTTTATTTCTGATAGCTGCTCATTAAGAAGCTTCCAAGGCTTTTTTTATTGTTTCAAAGGCAGTCATCTAAATTTTTAATCATTCAACAGTGCTATATGGTCACGATGTTACATTCTCTATCTTGCGCAGGGAGGGTTTTTTGGGGGGGCGGCGGCGTTATTTAGTCTTTTCAAAAACCTACATGCTAATGTCAACATAATGTTCCTCCTGAATAATAGCTAAGCATGGAGCTTCGTCTTAAAAAAAAAAAAAGATGATTGAGAAAGACCGCTGTTTTCGAGCAAAGGGTCAAAAGGTCCACATGTATTAGAAAATTAATAACCTTAATGCTTAGGGCACGATCCTTCCTTTTGCAAGGGAGCAGTGCCTGCATGTGGCGAGACTTGTGGTTCCGTCTAGCGCAGTGCTGTAAACACAATCTGTCAGCAGCCCTTTGGGGGCTCAGACAGGAGTTTATTCTTTCGTCCCCCTCCTCTCCTCTAGGGGGCAGCACACAAACAAGTTCATGCACAAGTAGGATAGGGGTGGTGTCCCTGTGCCTCCCGCACCCTCCCCACTCCCCACATAGGTGCACACCATGCCTTTAGAGCACATTCGAAGCACACAGCCCTGCAAATAATTCTGGTCGCTGTAGTTTGTTAAGCGTTGCTGGGACTTGCAACTCTGGGAAGGTGAACTGCAGCGGCCCAGAATTCTTTGAGGGAAAGAATGCACCTTGAATGGGCTTTAAAGGTATACAGTGCTACCTCAGGTTAAGTACTGAAACTGTTCTTAACCTGAAGCACCACTTTAGCTAATGGGGCCTCCCGCTGCCGTGCGATTTCTGTTCTCCTCCTGAAGCAAAGTTCTTAACCCAAGGTACAATTTCTGGGTTAGCGGAGTCTGTAACCTGAAGCGTATGTAACCCGAGGTACCACTGTTCTGTGTTTGCAGGCTTTTGGTGCCTTCTGTCAGGTTGGATAATTTGTACACCTAGCCCAGACCTGTCTAAGGTTCCAGGGTCTAAGGCAGAGGATGCGCTTGTCATCAGCTGCTCTCGGATACATTCGACTAGAGATGCAAAGCAAGGGCTCTCTAGCTGAGCTAGGGAACCCAATCCCACCCCCCAAAAAGGGAGTGGTGGGAAGACAGACGAGAAGCATGCACAAACTGCCCATTCCATTGGGCACTGGTTCTGCGCACATGCAATGTTGTGGCGACCGTGCATTGAGAAACAAGGTTCTGCTTAGCCCTGTTGCGATCCCTGTTGCACAAAAGTGCAGCATCTTGGCGCAAGGAAGGACCATGCCTTCAGCATATATGAAGCATCTTACTTATGCGCTCAGAACAGATTGCATGCATTAACTGTCTATTCTGTACAGCAGGGGTAGTCAACCTGGTCCCTATTGCCCACTGGGACGCGAGTGGCGCTGTGGGTTAAACCACAGAACCTGGGACTTGCCGATCAGAAGGTCGGCGGTTCGAATCCCCGCAACGGGGTGAGCTCCCATTGCTTGGTCCCAGCTCCTGCCAACCTAGCAGTTCAAAAGCACATCAAAATGCAAGTAGATAAATAGGTACCGCTCCGGCGAGAAGGTAAACGGCGTTTCCATGCGCTGCTCTGGTTCGCCAGAAGTGGCTTAGTCATGCTGGCCACATGACCCGGAAGCTGTACGCAGGCTCCCTCGGCCAGTAAAGCGAGATGAGCGCTGCAACCCCAGAGTCAGCCACGACTGGACCTAATCGCCAGGGGTCCCTTTACCTTTACCTTTACCGCCCACTAGTGGGCGTTTCAGGATTCCAGGTAGGGGGTTCTACGGCACATGTTACTGCAGCACTGGTGGGCGGTAAGGAAATTTTACCATCTAGAAAGGTGCATTAGTGGGCGGTAGGTATAAAAAGGTTGACTACCCCTGCTGTACTGCAACCCAGAACCTATGGCTGGTATTATCATCCCCAAATAACTGGTGGCGAGCTCAGAGATTTGGGGCCCCTCCTGATGAGAGTTTTGTTGTGGGTGTAATCTGTTCTTGGCAAAATGTAAGGGCATTAGTGCAGGTTTTATACTGCTTTATGAGGTGTTTGGCTATGCTTCCTCAATGCTGCCATGTTCTTGCTGTCCAGAAGGGCTATATATAATGTAACAACCCCACCCCAACCCCAAACATTTGTGGGATGAAAGGTTAAAGGACTTCAGCAGGAAGTTGCAGGATGTGCACGGACTGGAAATGAAGCAGTATGACTGCCCCCAAACTTTTGCAGGCCCAAACAGTTTTGGAAGTGAGGTAACGTATGACCACTCCAATAGCACCATGAGCACAAATCATTGTGAATTTGCAATATAAGGCGAGTGTCTGGAGGGGACCATTGCCGGAGGTCACTCAATGAGTTCATGGCTGAGATCAATCTCCAAATGAATCCGAACTTCAATGTCTAAAATTTCTGGTAGAGGACAAGGATCCTGAGATCACGTTAAGGGTAGCCAAATTCTGTGCGATTGACATAAAACTTAGGGAACAAGCTGTGCTATCATAATGATTAAGGTTTTAAATGATAATTTTAGGTTATATGTTAGTGACTAAGTTTTAATTTATATATTTTTTAACTGTTGCTATATCGATATTGTCCCTGTTATACCTAACTGCAAATTCAAATGTATCCCTATTGTGTTTTATGACTTCCTTGATATTGTATGTGGGCTGGAACTGGTCTGTGACCGAAATAATAAAATTCATTCATGGCTGAGATTATATTTGAGCCAGGACTTTGCAGAAACACTACTAATACTTTCTACCACTGCACTACACCAGTTCTGTGACCTTTGCTGGAAGGTCTGTAGCGGGCCTCAGGTGGCAGGTTAGGGAGACAGCAGAGTAGCACCCTGCCCTGCTGTTGGAGGTGGTGTGCTTGCTGCAACCACAACACACCTTCGGTGACTCACACTTCCACCAGGTTGTACTTATTAGAAGAGATGGGTGGCTATCCACCTGCATAAAATGAAGTCAGGACTGCAGGTTATCTCTACAACACCCATCACCCCTAACCATTGACCCTGCTGGCTGGGGCTGGTGGGAGCTGGAGTCCCAACATCCAGAGGACCCACTCCTGAATTAGACTGCCAGTAGACAACAAGATCCAAAACGGTTGCTATCGTGGTAGTTTGCTGCCTAGGGAGGTGGAAGTGCCCTGCTATGGGATTGCAGAAGCTCTCACAGGCTGCTGGCGCTGTGAATTTTAACTGCAAAGCAGCTGCCTTACCTGGGCAATATGAATGGAATGTTTGCTGGCCTCCAGAAATCCTAGCTGTTAGCTCCAGCGGCTGACACTGCCATAGGTGTGGTAGCCAGTTAGAATTATTTTCAGGAGCGGACAGATGCCACAATATAGCATACCCAGCAGCGCAAATCGGGTCCTCCTCACAGAGAGCACATGTTGCGGTGAGATAATCAGGACTGACCTCATTGTTGTGTGGGTGGGAGCAATTGGATAGCCACAACAATTCCACCAGGGACCCAACTGGTGGTCCCTCGGTTGGTGGACAAATCTGGCCAATGGGAATTTTGTGTATTAACTGAGAGACCTATATATACCGCTGCACGTTGCATTGAGCTTCCTCTTTTCGCCTCGTGCACCAGATCACCCGCCCACCTTCCCTATATTTAGGGTCTTGCTTTGTGCTTGCTATGCCGTCGTGGGTCGTCTGCTTTTGCAGCAGGGGCCCAGTAGGAATTTTCCCATTTGGCTGATCGGCTGGTGCCACTTGGGTTTTGCCTGCCGCGTAGCAAATCACCACAACTTTGTAAGGTTTGGCAGCTAGGCATTGGTTAAAATGGTGGTGTGGAGGGGGGGTTGGAGAACCTGGCCCCTCCAATGGCAAGAGGTATTCTATTCAAGGAATCCAGGCACTCATCATGCTTTTGTTGCCCCCTTTTGGCGGGTAGGAACTCGTAAGTGTCCCTGGGAGCATTTTGGGGTGAGCCTGAGTCACGTGCCCGTACCAGTGCTCCCCCATGGTGTTTACCTGCACTGATGATATGGTAAGGCCCAGTCGTAAGTGCTGCGCCTTGCTGAGGTCAGGCACAGCCTAGTCGAACCAATGCCTAAACCATGGGTAGGCAAACTAAGGCCCTGGGGCTGGATTCGGCCCGATCGCCTTCTAAATCCGGCCCGTGCACTGTCCGGGAATCAGCATGTTTTTATATGAGTAGAATGTGTCCTTTTATTTAAAATGCATCTCTGGGTTATTTGTGGGGCAAAGGAATTCATTCATTTCCCCCCAAAAAATATAGTCTGGCCCCCCACAAGGTCTGAGGGACAGTGAACCGGCCCTCTGCTGAAAAAGTTTGCTGACCCCTGGCCTAAACAAACCACTCACTATCTGTAATCAATAAAGTTGTGGCCATAATTATGCCAATAACCTAAAATTAAATTCTGTGTCATGTGCGTAATTATTTATTGGGGTAGCTCCTGGGGGTCTTCACACACAAGGAGGGCTGTGCTAGAAGGAAGGGAGCTGCGGACGGCCTTACATGCTGTACCCAGAGCCAGGCTACATGGGAAGCAGCATAACTGTCGTGGTGGAATTACAGATGGTTTGGCTTTGCTTCTGCCCTCTTTCCCACACAGTCATGTCTCTTTGAAGGACAGGCTGGGTTTCCTTCTCAGCCACAATGACTGTTGATTCTCACATTCATGCACCAAGGGGGGGTGGGGGTAGGAGGAATTGTGCTACAAACCTGCATCAAATTTCCTCCTCCAGAAACCACAAACCACCTCCTCATCTCTTCGGGGACTATTTTCCATTCTTGGGAACATAATACAGTGTGTGATTGAGGCCTCCTGTCCTAGGCTGAGCATCATTCCTCTTCCACAGGCGTGAAAGCATGGGCACGGTAGTGTTCAATGCAATCCGGTTCAGATAAGGATTAGGGGAAGAGAAGCTCAGAAAACTTGCTATTGGCTGGAGAGAGGATGTTGACCCGGATAGGTCAGTGGGCTGATCCAATGAAATGAAGCTCCTGGGTTTTTTTGGTGGGGAGGGGAATCAAAGCTAGTAGAACCTGAATTTAATACGAGTGAAACTTTCCACATGTCAAGTCTCTCATGCCAGTTATGATTAGAGATGAACTGAAGGTAATCACCTCCCCCCCCCCCAACATCAAAAACATCTCCTGTTTGGAGGCAGTACCCTAGTACTTTATGTGAGGATGTTTACTTATTCATTTACTGAACTTAACAATTGCTCTTGTCTTCTGTGAGCCAAATCTCTTCTGTGGCTTTGTGATATTATTCTGTCCATTGTGTGAGATCCCTGATTGGTTGGGACCACACATGGAATAATCCAGGATGCAGCAACAATGGAAAAATGTATTTCGCTCCAGCATTGCCATTCACTGTTGAGTCGCTAGAGCTAAAATTAATGAGACCATCATCAGGTGCACAATGAGAGCATGTGGAAGAACTTGCAAAACATTAAAGTATTGTGTCTTAGCACTGTTATTATGCATGACTTACATAGCATATTTAGCCATATACCTGCCTTTCTTGCATTCAAAAACAGATATTTATTTTTACAGATGGAGATCTGACGTAGGGTCTTATACATGTTTTTTAGGGAGTTCAGAGCTGAACAGGAACCAAAAACCATACCTTCATAGGTAGAGCAGAGCGAAGCCAGAACCTGCCCCAGGTATAACCCAGATGTGCTTGTGTATACAAAAGCCAATCTTCCCTTCAATATTTTCCTCCAAAGTGAGCATCTGTACTCAAATTTAGGATTCCATTTTGTGCCGTATACAAAGAACTGGTTTTTAAAATAAAACAAAAACAAGCGCACGTACACGCTCACAGAGAATTGATTTAAAACAACAACACACCAAACCCAAACCTCACACACGTTATTTATTTCATTAATTCCCATTTGCTCTGTGCATCTCCCTCCGCGGTTCTTCCCCCCACCTCCCCTTGTAAATGGTGTTTTTGTCAATCGATATGACTGATGGGAGAGGAAGAGAAAGCGGTGCAGAGCAATTTGTCCGACTTCAGATGGCCTGAAAGACAAACCGTTTCAAAGGCAGGTTGACTATCATTTAATAAGGAGCCAAGAGGGTGTTGCATGTAACACACGGTCCCTAGACTGGCCGTTATCCTCAGAGGCAGACGGGCTCAACTTGACAGGGAAGCAAGAGGCGGAGGGAGGGGGGGGGATCCTGCTGGTTGCAATTAACAAGAGATATCATAGGAATGAAAAAGAAGGGTAGTTCGGGGGGGGGGGCTGTATGGCTCTGCTAGTGCCAAGCCTTGGAAGAAGGATTAGTTACCAACCGTTTCTACCAGGAAAAAAATGAGAGCTTTCTGGAGATTGTTGCTTACAAGTGTCAAGGCAAGGTGTGGCAGTGAAGGACTTGTTTTGTGTCCGTGCACACACCACATCAGCCTGTGTGTGTGTATGTTCTGAGACAGGGCTTAGCTTCTTTGTAAAATCCAGTGTGCATTCTTTGGCTCCTAAGGGATGCGGGTGGCACTGTGGGTTAAACCACAGAGCCTAGGACTTGTCGATCAGAAGGTCGGTGGTTCAAATCCCCGTGACGGGGTGAGCTCCCGTTGCTTGGTCCCAGCTCCTGCCAACCTAGCAGTTCGAAAGCACGTAAAAGTGCAAGTAGATAAATAGGTACCACTCTGGCGGGAAGGTAAATGGCGTTTCTGTGTGCTGCTCTGGTTCGCCAGAAGCGGCTTAGTCATGCTGGCCACATGACCCGGAAGCTGTATGCCGGCTCCCTCGGCCAATAAAGCGAGATGAGCGCCACAACCCCAGTCGGCCTTGACTGGACCTAATGGTCAGGGGTCCCTTTACCTTTACCTTTATTCTTTGGCTCCTAGCAGTGCAGCGAGCTCACTAGATGCTCCGAGTTGTGAATTGTCTGTGATTTGGGTCCCCCATTTCCTTCTCCCAACCAGAGGAAAGCTCATGGAGGTGTGAACACATGTGACACAGAATCCCCTACCAATTGTCAGAGTATTTGTTGGCCAACCATGATGTTTGCTCATCACATCTGAGTTGGCCGCATAGTGTTCAGTGGAGAAGTGGGGCATGGGACCCAAGACTTTCTAGATGCAAAGCAGATGCTCTCCCACGAAGAGACCTGCTGGATCAGGCCCCCTCCAATGTATGGTTACCAGATATTTTTTTCAGTGAATCTGGGGACACTTTTCAACTTCAATGGATTTTGTATGGGGACTGATTTGTAAATTCGGGGACTGTCCCCGGGAAACAGGGACATCTGATAACCTTACTCCAATGCAGCAAAATGTTGAAGTTGAATTTGTTTAACAACACCATATATTTGTGTCTGTGTGTGTGTAACTCAACAATTTTCCAGCAAAGAAATGTCACCAACAGCTTTGATAACGTGCTTTCATTGCTTAGATCTACCACCTCCCTGCTTAAAAAACCCCCCAAAAACCACATGTTCTTCATCTCAGCCATTCTTCCCATTTCTGCCTATATGAATCAGTTCTCTATTGCACGGAACTCCTGCTGGGATTAATTTCACTGTATTTTATTTCATATGGAGAGTGCAAGGTGAAAGGCACCGAGAGCTCATTTCTTTGTGCTGGTTTGTGCGGGGTCAGGAGAAAGTTACTAGGCTGGATGAAAGTCAGGGCGACTTTCACAGGACTTGCGGTCCACTCTGTCCGAAAGGCTGAGCGTGGGAAGGAAGTATGCATTGTAAAAGGCTGTGTTTGTCTATATGTTGTGTTTGTGTGTAGGAACGGGGTGGGTGAGTGGGACGTTGCTTTAGTTCGCATCTAGAGATGAAATCGCCCAATATGCACTTCTCTGAATTTTGTAGTTTTCAGGCCAAGTTTTTTTTTATTTTAAAGGCATAAGCACCTGTAAAGTGTGCATACCAGTGCATATATTAGTAGAATACTTTTTTCTGGGGGGACACATATCCCTAAACATTTTGTGAATCTAAGTTTGGCCTCATTGAGGGGCAGTATTTCAATATGTGTATGACAGGGTCTCTCTCTCTCTCTCTCTCTCTCTCTCTCTCTCTCTCTCCCCATAAGAAACCTTTTTTAAAAAAAATTATTGATATAATTTCAATTATAAAGAAATAAATCTGGAAATTTTGGTATGGCAAGGTGTTAAGAATTCCCTGCTACAGGTCCTTTTCTCACTTCACATTCAACCTTATATTGTGCAGGACATTTTTGTTGTTGTTGTTTATATGTATTTCTAAACCACTTAATCTTTAAATATTTCCAATGTCAATAGAACAATTAGAGTCTTGAGAGGAGGAAAGACTAAGAAAGTCCAGAAATAATTATCCTGAAAGTTATTCACAAATAAGGGAACCGCTATAAGCAGATGGAAACACTAGCAGGATTGCAATAACACTTGTAATGTAGCAAATACTATGGACAAAAGGGAGAGACATAAAATATGGATTATGAAATAATATGCAGTTGAAAAGGATGACAATAGGACCCGTGTAGGAGAAGGTGGGCAGTCCAGAGATTCGGTGAAATCTCTAATTATGGATATGTATATTGTATTATACTGTCATAATTCTATATTTGTAAAACCAAATAAAAATTATTTCAGAAATAATTACTACTACTGCAGAAATAATTAATGCAGATAAACCCTTAATATCACAATGTACGGGTCTGCTCTAAATCATATGACTGTAGAGTTCTTTCTTTTCTTTTCTAGCCTTTACTGGCATATAAGTGAAAACAGTTTAATCATAAAAAATCATGCAAAGTCACCCAAAAACATTGATAATCCAAACACATACAATATATAACCACCACTGAATAAATCAGGTAACTGTAGATTTAGCTTTAAAGATCTCGGCTAAGTATCCCGAAACAATCTTGGTAGTTTCGGTAGTATCATCCCCCGACAAATATTGGATTACAGACGCTTACAAACTCTATGAGTTGGAAGTGACCCTGAGAGTCACCTAGTCCAGCCCTCTGCAATGCAGAAATCTCTCGTTACCTCAGATTTGTTCAGTGGAGAAGTGGGGTATGGAACCTGGGACCTTCTAAGTACAAAGCAGGATCAGGCATCTCTGTTCTCACAAAGATTAACCAGATGCCTATGGGAAGCCGGCAAGCAAAAGTATAAGCACAACAGGAATCTCCTCACTTGAGGTTCCCAGCAATGGATATTCAGAGGCATACCACCTGCAACAGTGAAGGAAGAATATCGCCCCTGATAGGGTTGTCCTCCATGAATTTATCTAATCCAAGTTGTTGGCCATCACAACATACAGTGGTACCTCGGTTCTCAAGCGCCTTGGTACTCAAACAACTTGGAACTCAAACACTGCAAACCCGGAAGTAAGTGTTCTGGTTTGCGAACTTTCTTCGGAAGCCAAATGTGCTCTATTTTGAGTCTTACGTTTCCGATTTGAGCGCCACACTTCCTTTTTGAGTGCTACGCTGAGGTCTGTTTGTTTTTGCTATTTATTTTGCGTTTTGGTTTCTGCAGCTCTTTTTTGGTTGGTTTTGTGACTGTGTGGAACCCAGTTCAGCTACTGATTGATTGATTGATTGATTGGTTGTGTGATTGTAGTACATTGTTTATTGATTTCATTTTATGGAACAATGGTCTTGTTAGATAGTAAAATTCATGTTAAATTTCAGGGGTTGATTTTAAAAGTCTGGAACGGATCAATCCATTTTGCATTACTTTCTATGGGAAAGTGCATCTTGGTTTTGGAATGCTTTGGTTTTGGAAAAGACTTTCAGAACGGATTAAGTTTGGGAACCAAGGTAGCACTGTAGTTTGAAAGTGAATTCCTACCACTACTCCTGAACAACAACCTTTTGCCGAATGAAAAGCAGCTCCAGGTTGCTGACAGTTAAGTCCAAGTGAACAAAGAATGGTTAAAAGTTCCTACACATAGTGGCAAATGTCTTGATAGCACAAGGATGGAAGAATGAGGAAACCCCGACAAAAGAACAGTGGCAAGAGAAATTGATGAACTATGCAGAAATGGCTAAACTGACATACAAATTGAGAGATAAAGACAACTGTGACTTTAAAGAAGAATGGGAACTTTTCACATATTACTTAAAAAGACAACGAAACAAACTGGACTACTGTACTTGGCAGGTTTTGAATATACACAAATCTTTGATTGTTAATGTAGTAGATAGATAATATAAGGATTTATACAATTTTACAATATGCAGAGAATAATATGAGTTGAGAAATCAGAGAGAGGAGCTGAGGGAAGTCTGGGGGGGAGGGAGGGTTTGATGGGGAGGTGGGGGGAAATGGGGGGAAAAGTGATGAATATGAGATGTTTTGATGTTTTGTTATGTTGAAATGGTTAATATATATATATATATATATATATATATATATATATATATATTAAAGTTCCTACACATAGATTAAAAAACAGCAACAACTACAAACAAATAGCTAAAGAGAAAATCCTTCTTTGGTATGACATGGCAATTTCTAAGACATTAGCAGTTTAGGAATTGGATAGATAGCTTGAAGCTCCCTATAAAATCACGACAGCTAGCAGTATATAGCAACTTATTTGTGATCCTCCTCCTCATTGCGCCAGGGTATTTTCCCTCCCCCCAGTGTTTTACGATGCACAGGGCCAAGATGACTCTCCCTTTCTCCAGAAACAAACTTTGTGTTTCTTAATAATCACAAAATTCTCCGGGGGGTGCGAGTGGGTGGGTGGAGGAATCAAGTTGTTTCCTTCTTTCATCATGTCCCTAAAAACCACGAAGCCTGGCTTCAAAAAGGAGGAGGCTTCAAAGTGTCGAAAGCGACAGTGTGCACACTCTGGTCCAGCCAAGCAGCCAGCCAGCCCCTCTCAAGTTTCTGTTTGTGGCAGTCTGATCATTGCAGAGCTGCGGCACCAATTTCCTCCTCTTTTCCCTGAACCGATGCCATCGCTCAGTAGACTTGGAGAAAGGTCACAGAATCGGCTGCTTGAGCGGGATCCTTTCCAGGACTGCTGGTCCTCATTTTTGAAGTGAGCAGTCGGGAGGAAGCAAAGAAGAAGAAGAAGAAGAAGAAGAAGAAGAAGAAGCTGTCACTGCAACACAACAAGAACTTTTGAAACATCTGTGAGGATGGGAGGACTCAGCACAACAGCAAAACTCTCGATTTTTGCTCTTCGCTTCTCACTTTGAGGCATGATCCTGATTTCCCTAAATGTGCTTGAGACAGGAGATAAATGGATGCCATTGGCATTTCTGTTGTGTACAGTGGTACCTCGGGTTACAGACGCTTCAGGTTACAGACTCTGCTATCCCAGAGGTAGTACCTCGGGTTAAGAACTTTGCTTCAGGATGAGAACAGAAATCGTGCTCCGGTGGCACGGCAGCAGCAGGAGGCCCCATTAGCTAAAGTGGTACCTCAGGTTAATAACAGTTTCGGGTTAAGAATGGACCTCCAGAACGAATTAAGTTCTTAACCCGAGGTACCACTGTACTGTTCCTCCATTTTCTTTATGAAATATATGTATCTAAAACATTTAATACAGTGGTTTCTCCCGCTGTTCCTCCAAGGAATTCAGGGCATCCTGTATTTTATTTTCACAAGAGCTCTGTAGGATAAGGCAGGGTAATTAATATAAGTTTAACAGAGGGCAGTCCAACAACCTCTGGAATACACCTGGTTTGGTTAGTCTTTAAGATGTTATAAAATACAACCACCCCTTGGAAAGGTTGGGACTGAGCCAAACTGAAGAGGTAGAGGCTGTGAATATTTTTATGCACCTTGAAAAGGGGACCTGTTTATGTTTTTTTTGATTTTGGTGGGGAGGGAGGTGTGCTCTTAAGGATGTGAAAGCAAAAGGGGAAGGGAATGTGCCTCTGTTGCCTTGGCCCGTTAAAGTTCCAAAGCAGCAGCAGCAGATCAGAGGAAAGATATCTTCAAACAGATGTGGAAAACTGCATGAGAGAGGGGGGGGAAACCCACCAGTTGTGTGACTGGCTGGAGATGAAGTAACATGTGGAGAAATGCACAGCATCTCATCTGCAGCCTTCTGCAGCCAGACCATCAGCCCAAAGAGAAAATCACCCTTGGGTCCTCAACTGCATGGCTTATGCCTATAGGTCTTTTAACTACAAAGATGGACAGTGGAATGTCCGGGTGCCATGGCTATAATGGGTGGAAGCATTCCCTGCACGGAACATTTTTATCTATCTATCCATCCCACAGTCTAATCATCATCACCACCATCATCAAATCAAACATGCTTTACCTCCACAGTTGGAGGGCAATATGGCTCTGTCAGGCTTTGGAGGATCAGATCCCTCCCCCGGTGGCAGTAAATAAGCAGATCAAACGAAAGGAGCATTCTTACCAGTTAGTTTCTTTAACAATCACAGCGAGAGACAAAGGAATGCATATCTCTCTAGAAATGGCATTGCTCCCAGTAAAGGTTCATCCCCTCCGTCCCCATTAATCTACATCACTCCTGCATTGGGAAATCTGAGCTTGCTCTCTGTTCTATCACTCTCAAAGCCTGTCTAGTCTTAGGCGAAGGGGGGTCAGGAATGCTGTCCAAGGACATTGCATCTGCCAGCTCTCTCTCTCCCTCTCCCTCTCTCCTGGTGTTTCCTCTTCTAGCTGTTCTTCACCCAGTATTTCCCAGCTTCCCCCCTCTGGACTATGCCCTTCTGCAAACCACTGTTCTAAATCAATACTGTCCTCCTGCACTTGGAAAGGTTCAAGAGAAGGGGGGGTGCGGCTTCCACCATTCCTCCTCAGTCCAGCCCCTGACAGCCTCCGAATGGGGAGAGTGCTGTTGTATGTAGGTCCTGTTTGGTCACTTGTGAACAGGGTGAAGGACCCAGGGTGAAGGGTGATCTACCAGGATACCTCTTATGTTCTTATACTTAATGATCCATATCCTTTGTTGTTTGTTGTTGTTGTTTAGTCATTTAGTTGTGTCTGACTCTTCGTGACCCCATGGACCAGAGCACACCAGGCACTCCTGTCTTCCACTGCCTCCCGCAGTTTGGCCAAACTCATGTTTGTAGCTTCGAGAACACTGTCCAACCATCTTGTCCTCTGTTGTCCCCTTCTCCTTGTGCCCTCAATTTTTCCCAGCGTCAGTGTCTTTTCCAGGGAGTCTTCTCTTCTCATGAGGTGGCCAAAGTATTGGAGCCTCAACTTCAGGATCTGTCCTTCGAGTGAGCACTCAGGGCTGATTTCCTTCAGAATGGATCGGTTTGATCTTCTTGCAGTCCATGGGACTCTCAAGAGTCTCCTCCAGCACCATAATTCAAAAGCACCAATTCTTCGGCGATCAGCCTTCTTTATGGTCCATACATCACTACTGGGAAAACCATAGCTTTAACTATACGAGCCTTTGTTGGCAAGGTTATGTCTCTGCTTTTTAAGATGCTGTCTAGGTTTGTCATTGCTTTTCTCCCAAGAAGCAGGCGTCTTTTAATTTCATGATTGCTGTCACCATCTGCAGTGATCATGGAGCCCAAGAAAGTAAAATCTCTCACTCTCTTCATTTCTTCCCCTTCTATTTGCCAGCAGGTGATGGGACCAGTGGCCATGATCCTTAATGGTGACTAAATCATAGTAAATAGTAAGCTATATACTTATATACACACGAGGTGAGCCCACTCTAGGGGTGGAGGTGTCTTCTGCCCCTCAATATTTGTTTCAAGGGGGTCCTGCCACCCCCCCCAAAAAAATATTGAGAGGGCCTGGCCTGCATGCTCCGTCAATGCTGGGTGGAACATTTTGTTTACTGGATTATATGCTCTGATCCTGTGGTTTATTTAGGGTGGATCTAGACACACCAAAAAAAGCATTTTGGGAAAACACATTGCCAACTTCATAGAGGGAAATCACATTGGCCAAAGACAGGACTCCACAGCGCCATCTGGTGTCACAGTATTATAACACACGTAAAGCGCTTTTTCTTTACTAATGTTGCCGAGTCCATATTCCTACAGACCTCTGCTCATGCAACAGGGACTCACCTTCCATCCCTCGTCTTTGCAGACCCCAATGCTCCCTCCAGATCTGATCCAGAGGGTCCCCCCAGCCCTCCAGCAGAGATTTTTTGAGAGAGTGTGGGGAGCTTCGAGGTGGGCGGTGGGAGGAACATCCTGTTGCACCAGTGGAAGCCCAATCTGCTTACACACAGAGAGCATTGGCTATCTCCCATGGACAAGGGGGAATAGCTATTCTCTTCAGTTTTTCCACCATTGTACATTGCAAAATCGGATAATCCTGTTGCCCTGATTAAACTGATTGGTTCAGCTGAATGTTTGCAGTTCCCTGTGTAACTTGGAGGCCACATTGACGGGTATGTCAAGCCATGCTGGCATTGCCATTGGTAGCCTGGAGGGGAAAGCACAGCAGACTGTATTCCAGAAGACAGAACTGGGCCATCCTGTCCCGAAGGACACCCTTGCATTCTGTTGCAAGCCCAGAAACAACCTGTTGGAAAATGAAGTATTTGCAAGAAATCAACACTGGATCCTTCAGAAGACAACGCAGTAGGTGCACCAATTAGAAGCGACACAGAGATGTCTGTTGTTCTTGAGTTCATTGTGACAGACAGACAGACAACCACAGGGGTCGTAAAATAATGGCTCCTTTTATCATATGATTGGCAGCAGAGGGATAAAAAAAGATAACATATTTTATTTATTTACAGTATCTTTTCATATCTATAAAGAAATGTGAGCAAAGGAGGATCAATTTGAAATACGTAAATTGCTAGAAGTTCTGCCTTGTGAGTTTTTCCTATGCCCATCTACCCTCCTTCCCCAAATTAACAGGTTCTCTACAATCTTTTGTGATCCACCTGCCCTTCTGGAGGCCTGTTCCTAGTCTTCATTCTTCCCTTAATTTCTGGACTGATAAACTTAGGCATTAGTGACTTTATTCATGGCTTCAGACACATTTGTAACTGTGGAGAAAAAAATGTAAGTGCATACTGGAAGCATAGATTTGGTTTGCTGGTACAAATGCCATGTGTCGGATCTGGTATTAAGTTAGGGATTGCCAACCTCTTTGGAAGTTTTGAAAAAGGGCTATGGGTGCCAGTCACAAAATGGCTGCCACCTGGACCTGGCAAAAAACAAAATGGCTGCTGTGGTGGCATGGTATAACACAAGATGGCGGCTACATCTTAAAAATCAGTAAAGGGGACATTGTTAGAACGATCTAGAGTGGCTCAATGATCCTCCATGTTTCCTCGAAAACCTTCTACTGGTGGTGTTTTGACAGAAAAAGAAGCAGCACCTTCAAATAGAGGTGCCAAATGTGAGAGGAGGGTGACAGACCAATAAAAATGGCTGCAGAGGCCAGGCCATGGGCTGCTCCCCTGTACTATGATATGCTTGCTATTTCTTTGTCAGTTTTCTAAGGAGTATATGCCAGGTGGATGCTATTGACTTTTTCCAAACAGATTGCTTGTCTAGCAAGTACTGTCCACTGTTAGCTGTGGCAGAATCAATTCTGGGTAAAAGTTTTCCTCCTCCCCTCAGTTGTGTGTGTGGTGGGGATATATTGTTTTCAGGACCCCATTCCCCTCAAGCACATGGTTGGCACAGTCAGAACGGCTAGGTGCACAGGTTGCAAAGTGTGGGCAGCCTATGCTGTGTATATTTTGCATTTTGATCATGACCATTAGAGAAAATTCAGAGAAAGAGAGCAGAAGACCCTCTGGAGAGTCTCGACAAAACAAAGCACACAATGCCTAACTGTTATTGGAAAAGCTAAAATGTAGAGATGCCCCATGAAGAAGCAAAAGAGCTGATCAATGACCATGCTAAATGCATTTTGCATAACAGTTAGAAGAAGTCTATTCTGTTTCATTTTGATCCCTGCCCGCCCCCCGCCCCCCATATTTTGAAGATGAAAATAAACAAAGCCACTGAGGGTCTCCTTTGCACATGAAAATTTGACTTCGCAGTTGTGGTTTTTAAAGAATAGCCTTTACCAAACAGCAAATATCAAAATGCCATTAAGTATTGATAAAGAAAGTTTACAAAATTAAGGGAAGGGAAAAGTGGCTGGAAGTCTTCTAAAGTCTTCACATTTTTATGCTGCTGTTCCTAGGAATGTGGTTTTTTAAACAACAACAACAACAACAACTTATCATCCTGAGTGAAATACTCTGGAAGGCATATTTGAATGTTCATGGAGTGGATCTATGTGAACTATCTAAAGCGAATTCTCTTTAGAACATGATAAGAATTCTGCTGGATCAGACCAGAGGCTTATCGAGGGCAGCATTTTGTTTCTGCAGTGTCCAACCAGATGCCCATGGAGGCATGAGGACGATAGCACTCTTCCCCTCATGTTTCTCCGGTAGCCTTCTTCACCATGGATTTCTTTAATCCCTCTGGGAAGCCATCTAAGCTAGCAAGCATAATGGCATTTTATGGTAACAAATCCCATAGTTTAACTATGTGAAGAAGTCTGTCTGACTGTTCCAACATTCAGTTTCATCAGATGGGTTCTAGTATTATGTTTTTAAACACTTCTATCACGCACCTCTTTATTCACCTTCTCTCTAAACTGAGTCACTCCAGTCTCGTGATCATTTTATTTGCTTTGGGGGGGGGCATATTTTCATCTTTTTTTGTGTTGCAACCAGTATTCGAAGTGCAGTTGCATCTTGAATCATTGGAAAGAAAATATGCCCTCTGGCCACACACTCCATTGTCACATCTCTCCTGTTTTGGCACATCTAACATTATTTATAAAACTTTTTTTTATATAAATAACCAGGATTAGATGCTGGTTAAACCACTGTTTCTTGGTTCAGCTGTGTTTTAACAAACCCTGGTGTTCTTTATGGCATGAGAGAGAAGGAAGGGAAGAAGGGAGTATATATGGGCCCAACATTCATTCTTGGTCTAATAAACCACAATTTATTAGACTGACAATGCAATCCTGTACATACTAATTCAAAAGTAAGTCCCACTGAGTGCAGTAGAACTTATTTCCAGACATGTGTGCACAGGATTGCAGCCCAAGATTATTACATTTGAACAAGACCTATGAGGGAGAGAGAACGCAAATGTATGTATAGGAAATGATGACGTTTTCATCCCCAATAAAGTTTTTGATTTGAGTTTCTACTGAAAGGAGGCTGCATTTTAATGTTGTATTTTAATCTTGTTTTTTAAGTTGTATTTCAATCAATTGTTTTTATATCTGGTGTTAGCCGCCCTGAGCCCGGTCTTGGCTGGGGAGGGCGGGGAATAAATAATTTTTATTATTGTTGTTGTTGTTGTTATCATCATCATCATCATCATCATCATCATCATCATCATCATATCTGGATTGCATACATGGGAAGTATGTATGAACTGTCCACTTCATTATCCACTGGAGATGGGAAACAGATCCTGCAACCTCAAAGTTCCTTCTGATTGTGAGTGTGGCATCAGCTAAACGATGAATGAGAGGAAATAGGCATTTAGATTGAATAATAATAATAATAATAATAATAATAATAATAATTTATTATTTATATCCCGCCCATCTGCCTGGGTTTCCAACAAAATAGTAAAATACAACGGTCTGTTAAACATTAAAAGCTTCCCTAAATAGGGTTGCCTTCAGATGTCTTCTAAAAGTCTGGTAGTTGTTTTTCTCTTTGACATCTGATGGGAGGGCGTTCCACAGGGCGGGTGCCACTACTGAGAAGACCCTCTTCCTGGTTCCCTGTAACTTGGCTTCTTGCAGCAAGGGAACCTGCAAGATACAATATGCCTCTACATTCCCTTAATGTGCTGGATGTTACACATCTTTCTAGAGGCGTTGGAGGTAGGGAAGACCTACCTAGTGAGTCAGAAGGAGGGATCTTCTCCACTGTGCGTAGAGGAAAGGAAAGTGGGCAATACCTAAATCAGGTGGGCATTAAAATATCTTCCACAAACAACTGCACGGTCTATCTGGATGTACCTTCCTCTAGCATGGAGAAGGCCTTCAATAGCAGGGGCAGAATGGAGGCAGGTGGAGCAAGAAAAGAACTTGGTATGTCAGACCCAAAGCCTGGGCTCAGCCCAGTAGGCTGGGGGCAATGCCAACGGCAAGGAAGGTGGCTCTGTAGTGGGGCATATGCATTGCGTGCAGAATGTCTGTTTCACTCCCAAGGGCTGGGAGAGAACCCTGCCTGAAACCCTGCAGAAGGCGCTGCCACTCAGTGTAGACCAGGGTTTCCCAAACTTGGGTCGCTTGTGGTTTTTGGACTACAACTCCCATCATCCATAGCTAGCAGGACCAGTGGTCAGGGATGATGGGAACTGCAGTCTGAAAACAGCTGGAGGCTCAGGTTTGGGAAACCCTGGTGTAGACAATCGGTAGCTAGATGGTCCTCAGGGCTGCCTCAGTATCGGCCAGTGTCCAATGTTCCGACAACGGAAATAGCAGCTTATGAGCAAAGCAGAACCAAATCTGGATTTTGGGAGCAGAACAATTCATCTGATGGCCCATTGGCCTGATCCAGCAGGCTCTACTTATCTTCATACCCCAATACTGGCTGAACAATAGTTTCACTGGTCAGCCAGTAAAACATCAGTTGGTTGGAAGACGTCTCTCCCCAGAATTTGTATAATAATCTTTTTTTTTTCCTCCCCCAAATGACTCTTCTCTCTGCTCGTCACTACTCTAACTTATGTGACTGGCAATTTGTTTCTTTTTAAGAAGAATTAATTGGGGAGGAGGGAGTTTGCATAAATAAAGAATCTCTTCCTTTAATGCGGATGCTTCTGCCGGCAAAATGTGGCACGTGTAAGTGGGGAGGAATTGTAGCATGTCATCCTCCACTTGGAAATCGGCTCCTGAAATCCTGTCTCTTTGCTCGCTGCAGTCGATGGAGCAGTGGGGAACCAGCTCTCCACATTTTGTTAGGGAGTAATTACATTATTCATATTTTATTTATCCCCTCAAAAGAAACAAGTAATTATTATTACACAATCTGTACCCTCCCCCCCCAAAAAATACTGCTTTGGAAAAATTATCAATTATAATCTAGAAGATTGTCCCCCAAGTAAGACTTCAAATGCGTCTCATTACAGATTTTGTTTTGTTTTGTTTTGTTTTGTTTTGTTTAAGGAAGTGCGGTGGAAAAAAAAAGAACTGCTGTGCTGTTGTCTTTTACTTCTCTTTAATGTCGGGTTCAGAAGTAATGATGGTGAGAACAATCAGCCTTCAAGTCTCTGTTTTCCTGTGTTTACTCATTAAACATGAGAACCAGGTGCTCTCATGGGGAGAAAAGCTCATTGTAACATTGGCTTTAGATATCAAAAAAGCCTTTCACCTTTCACTAACAAGCATAACTTCACAGGCAAGGGGGCTGAGATAAATAAAGGAATAAATAAAGGAAGGGGGCCTGCTTTAAAATGAAATGGCAGGGCCCGATCCTGTAAACAAATACTTCTGGCGTGGGGGCAGAAGACTCCCCTTCTCTTGGAGAGGAATCTGACGGAACACAACAAAGCTTTGCCTCGCGCAAAGGCTATGCAGATGGAGGTGCTTTGCCATATTTTGGTCTCTTGCACATGTTACCGGAGTAGCCTCAACCTTAAAGCAAATGCTGCCTATAATGATAAAAACAATGATAAACTAGACCCAGTTCCAGAATATAATTTTGTGACAGGAACATGTGGCATACCAATGTCTCTTCACCCTTCCTTCAACCTGACCTCACCACCACCACCCTTGCCTTTGGGATCCTTGTCCTTTATCTTCCCTATTTCCTGGCCCCTCTTCCAGGCCCTCAGCCTCCTGTTATGTGAGATTTTGATCCCAGCCAAGCAGACAATTTTCGCTTCCCTCGCAGAAGTTGGATTGCAAACCTTTTACTTCCAGGAGCAGCTGAACATTCTCTTCCAATCAGGGGCTTTATCACCATGAACAATATTTTAGACTGTATAATAAAATAATTTAAATAAATAAGAGAAAGAAAGAAAGAAAGAAAGAAAGAAAGAAAGAAAGAAAGAAAGAAAGAAATTCGAGTCCCCTGACCTAGGCTTCTTCTCTTTTGTCTTCCTTTCAGGAAAGGGAAGGTGAGAAAGGGTGAAGAGAGAGAGAAGAGTAGAAAGTCTCCCAGTTGATTTATCTCCCGAGGTGATGGTCTCTTCAAGAACTAGAGGCAGCACTGGTGACCAGGGTTGGCCTGGTAACAACAACAACAACAATTTATTATTTATACCTTGCCCATCCAACTGGGTTTCCCTAGCCACTCTGGGTGGCTTCCAACAAAATATCTAAAAAACAATAAAACATCAAACATTAAAAAATTCCCTAAACAGGGCTGCCTTCAGATGTCTTCTAAAAGTCAGATAGCTGTTTATTTCCTTGACATCTGATGGGAGAGTGTTCCACAGGGCGGGCACCACTACCGAGAAGGCCCTCTGCCTGGTTTCCTGTAACTTCGCTTCTCACGGTGAGGGAACCACCAGAAGGCCCTCAGAGCTGGACCTCAGTGTCCGGGCTGAATGGTGAGGGTGGAGATGCTCCTTCAGGTATACTGGGCCGAGGCCATTTAGGGCTTTAAAGGTCAGCACCAACACTTTGAAGAGTGCTCAGAACCCAGTTGTGTCCCACTAACAAGGGGGCCAGTTGGGCCCCTTGCCCAAGGGCTCTGGAGATCCTAGAGTGGTAGCACCTCATTGAGCTCCCCGTCTTGCATGTCTGTTCTCTTCTTTTTGGTTTTTATTTCTTCTGATGCCATCCCATAGAATTGTGGAGTTTGAAGGGACCGTCTTGCCCAACCCCCTGCAAGGCAGGAATCTTTTGCCCATGGCACCCACGACCACACTGTCCCTAAGCTCCCTTCTTAGAACTCGTCCCCTTCGCGTTTTCTTTCTCCAAAACCAAAACCAAACCTTGTAATGGGAGCTTATATTGTGTGAGGAGAGGGGATCAATAGGAATATGGCTGGCATGTTTTGTGTGGTTCGTTTGTTATGCTTTCTGGAGACTTCCCTCTTTTCTTCTGGTTTTTATGGCTGACCTTGTTCCTGTTGTTAGTACAGAGGGGTGGTGTGTTTTTTTGTGTTTCCCCCCCTCCTGCTTTTTCCTCCTCCAGTGTGGCACTTCTGTAATGTTTTTGTTCTTTGTTCTAGTTCATTCTCCCTTTGAGGTTCCCTCTGATGTTGAGTCAGCGGCATGTTTTTGATACATTCTTCCCTGGCATGTGCATCCTCACTCCAGGTATCAAAAACCCAGAGCAGCGGTTATTTGGAGGGACACTTGTTCGGACTGACAATGCCTGCCTCGTCCTAATGCCGTCCGCCGCAATGGCCACCTGAGTCAACAAATGACCGGTGTTTGAACAAAGGAACAACAGACCTGCACTTTCTCTCAGGCTTTGTGTTTTCACTTTGGCTGTGGAGCGCGCACACACACACACACACACACACACAGAGGACTCCTGTGCTGTGGGGCTTTGAGGAGCAGGTGCGTGACCAGGAGGCAGCTGAAAAGGCATGATGACTTGTGCCGTATGGATAATACCCAGCAGCCAGGCCTCCAACAAAAGGGCAGCTTGTTTTGCCATTGTCTTTTAAGGTCAGGGTCATAAGAACAAACATAAGAAGAGCTCTGCCACATCAGACCAATGGTCGCTCCAGTCCTGTTTCCCACAGTGGCCAACCAGGTGTCTCCAAGAATCACACACAAAGGGAAGCCTTTCCCCACTGCATCTCCTGGAGTAAACTGTAGTATTTCAGTTCAGTCCTTGTTTCATGTACAGTGGTACCTCGGGTTACATACACTTCATGTTACATATGCTTCAGGTTACAGACTCCACTAACCCAGAAATAGTACCTCGGGTTAAGAACTTTGCTTCAGGATGAGAACAGAAATTGTGCAGTGGCAGCGCAGCGGCAGCAGGAGGCCCCATTAGCTAAAGTAGTGCTTCAGGTTAAGAACAGTTTCAGGTTAAGAACAGACCTCCAGAACTAATTAAATACTTAACCCGAGGTACTGAAGGGTCCTTCAGTACCACTGTATAGTCATACCTCGGAGGACACCTTGGTTCCCAAACAAATCGGCTCCCGAACGATCGAAACCTGGAAGTGAGTGTTCCGGTTTTCAAACAATTTTTGGAAGCCGAACATCCGGCACAGCTTCTGCAGCTTGCGATAATCAGAAGCCACGCCTTGGTTTTTGAATGTTTCCAGGAGTCCTGAAACAAATTCTGTTTGAGAACCAAGGTACAACTGTATGTTCCAGTACACAGAGGCTTTAGAGACCAGGCCCTGAGGCAGCAATGTGAAGTTTCTAATGGTCTCCTTCTCGTGTATAATAGGATGTCCCTATTTTCTTTGGAGAAATGTTGTTGGAGGGTATGTAATGTTTGCTTAGGTGTGTAAAAAATAAAGTATTCCAGTCACCATCCTTTGTGCCAATCCTACATCTTACATATAGCAGTGTGCTTTCTTGGAAGCTATTTTACATGAGTTTGACTAATCCTTTTTTTTAAAAAGCCATCTGAGGCTGCCCTCCTCTGTACACTTACTTGGAAGCAAGGCACATTGAACACAGTGGGATTTCCTTCTGAATAAATATGCAAAATATTGTACTGTAAGCCAGTGGCCTTTGTCCCATCTTGCGGTACCAACTTCACTAAGGCAGCAAACCTATGTGCACCCACCTGAGAGTAAGTCCCATTGAACTTTTATTCAAAAAGATTTCTGAAAAGCTTGATATTTTTTTAAACCCCTAAACAGTATACAAAAAACAAGACCAAGACAATAAAACCACACACACAAATGAAAGTAAAATAACATTATAAAAACAGATGGAAAGAGGAACAGATAAAAAGAGGAATTCAGAAACAATGGTGTGATCTTATGGGTCAGGGAAAATCTGGGCAGAAAGTTATGTCTTCACAAGACATCAGAAGCAACTAAAATAGACAATGCTTCAAATATGACAGAGGGAAGGGCTTTCCACAGTGCAGGGGCAATGGTAGAAAATGCCCATTTTGGAGACACCACACTTTGCTGTGCCATGGGTAGAACTTCCACTGATGAAATAAGGGATCTTATGATGACCATGAGGCTGTCCTAAGATGTCACCAGCCCACTGAAGAAGATGAAGAAGAGTTTGGATTTGATATCCCGCTTTATCACTACCCGAAGGAGTCTCAAAGCGGTTAAAATTCTCCTTTCCCTTCCTCCCCCACAACAAACACTCTATGAGGTGAGTGGGGCTGAGAGACTTCAAAGAAGTGTGACTAGCCCAAGGTCACCCAGCAGCTGCATGTGGAAGAGCGGAGACGCGAACCCAGTTCACCAGATTACGAGTCTACCACTCTTAACCACTACACCACACTTGCTCTCGTGTAGCAGGCCACACTCTGGACCTTGTTTTCTCAACTGGGCAGGAAGAGGGTGATCTGAAAGTGGGGGATATTGACAACAGTCCCATGTCATGGTCAGATCGTTTCCTGTTGAGATCTAAATTTTCAGGACCCTTTCCCCTCTGCAGAGGCGGGGGAACCTATTGGGATGGTCCACTCTTGGAGGCTGATGGACCCAACAGGTTTCCAGGTGGCTCTGGGGGATTTTCCGGCTGATAGGCTTATCCTGTACAACACCCTAAAGCTGTGCAATGCAGGCAGCAAAGCAGTGTGGATATGCCTGTCTACAGCCAAACTTCTGGAACTGTAGCATGCAAGGGTAGACTTCAGCGACCTGTGAACTTTAACCTCATTTCTCTTTTAAGAGCAATTTGCCAAGCAAAAACGTTCCTTTTTAACCAGGCCTTTGGTTGACCTGATTGACATCCCATACCTGATTGACATCCCTTTTAAAATGTGACTCTTTTGGGGTGTGTGTGTTATTTTGATTTTATATATTGTGATCTTTTCTGTGAACTGCCCTGAGACCTCCGGGTATAGGGCAGTATATAAATTCAATATACCTACATTGGCTCCCAGTATGTTTCCGGGCACAATTCAAAGTATTGGTGCTGACCTTTAAAGCCTCAAACAGCCTCGGCCCAGTATACCTGAAGGAGCGTCTCCACCCCCATCGTCCAGCCCAGACGCTGAGGTCCAGCTCCGAGGGCCTTCTGGTGGTTCCCTCACTGCAAGAAGTGAAGTTACAGGGAACCAGGCAGAGGGCCTTCTCGGTAGTGGCGCCCACCTTGTGGAACGCCCTCCCACCAAATGTCAAAGAAATAGCTATCTGACTTTTAGAAGAAATCAGAAGGCATCCCTGTTTAGGGAAGCTTTTAATATTTAATGAATTGTTGTATTTTAATATTTTGCTGGAAGTCACCCAGAGTGGCTGGGGAAACCCAGCCAGATAAGTGGGGTATAAATAATAATAATAATATATTATTATTATTATTATTATTATTAACAACAACAACAACAACAACTGAATGCAACCAACCATGCTCCGGGCTCCCCAACTTCACACACCACAACACCACACAAACAAACAAACAAACAAACAAACAGATAACTAAAGAACCTATCCTCCTGATGCTGACATCAAAACTCTACACATACACTAAACAAAAGGATGGAAAATCATTATCTCGCCCTTTTTCCTTCCCCTGCTCCCTAATTTACTTCCCCCACCCTACCTCACAATGTCGACGAAAGCAGCATCGCACACCGAATGTAGCTGATCTGCAGAAAGGACTCAATGAACTTAGAACGGAGAAGTTGTATGTTCCCCTGTTGTCTATGAAAATCCTTCAATTAAAACAATTAAAACAAAAACACCCAGGAACACAAGGTCCAACATGAGGTGGAAAGAAGGAACACTATTGCTGAGCCTACTCTAAATTTTAGTGGCCCTCCAAAATTTTGCTGTCCTCAGGGAGGAGCTATGACCTAGGCAGGAACAGGGCACCGTATAACACCATTTCAGAATGTAAGCCCTGCCTATTTGAACACACAATTCAGAACACCTCCATGAACACAGAAAAAGTCACTCAAGAGAAGGCTAACCTGGAACACTTCTCCCCACCGTGAAATCTATTCCTGGACTTTAACCTTAGTTTTGGCGAGAGCCTTCAGTCCTGCATTGCATTTTGTGGCCTGAACCATATGGGCTTTTCTCCAGAACGTGTAAATTAACTCATAGAGGCCGATGTGCATTGAATATGCAAAACTCAGAAGCCTGTTTGCATGATTAAGATAGCTTTTCATCTCACATAATCACACACATACACACCCCATACCCTCTTGGGGAAAATTTAAACCAACTGTAGCGTTGCTCATTCCTGAACTTTTTCTTTTGGACTTTCAAGTGATGCACTTACGTTTGAACTGTGAACTATGCAAGAACCTTCCGAATCCTTAGCGCTTGGTCCAAGTCCATTGCCAGTCATTCAGTAATACAATAATTATACCCAGTTCAGGGTATAATTAAAACTCAGCCTATTAAGATAAATATCCAGGGTTAAGACCTGGATTGCTCCTATATACACCTGCCTGGATATCAGGAGCGGCTGGGAACATCACCTTAATAATGCTGTAGCTGCCAAGTGTGCATTATGAGGCCGCTCACGGCATTCACAGACCTGACACCCTAACAATGGAGTGCCCACCCCTTACAGATCTGGCTGGTGCTGATGGCTTTTTGGCACCGTATCTAATCACCCAGGTTTCAGGCTAATGGCAATTTGGGTAGGGGTGATGGATATATGTCCACAGATGTGCTGATCTGGTTCATGCCATATCAGAGTTGAGTTTTTAAGTAATACTGGTTGTATTATTGAGCTGGTGCTGTAAATTTTAACTTGCTCTGGGATTTGTTTTTTAAACGACGAGCAAGCTATAAATGTTTCTAATTAAAAATGAAGCAAAAACCGCATGGCAAAACCCAATATATTTTACAGTGATAAAATACTATAATGCTCAATTCAAAAACGACTAAAACGGGATCTTCCCCTCTCCCCTTTAAAAATTTACCGTATTTTTCGCTCTATAAGACACACCTTTTCCCTCCTAAAAAATAAGGGGAAATGTGTGCACGCAGCAATCCCTCTTGCTGTTCTGGCTTCGGGGATAGCCGCGCAAAGTCTCTTCAACAACATTTGATTCAGAATATTTTTTTCTTGTTTTCCTCCTCTAAAAACTAAGTGTGTCTTATGGCCGGGTGCATCTTATAGAGCGAAAAATACAGTAATTCAATGCTTCAGCAACAGAACAGATCCTACACTATTGGCCCCCCCACTATCTGGCATTTTTTAATCCTCTTTAATCGTTCCAAATCAGAAAAGGGGAGCCCTATTCCAGCCTGAAGGCCACATTCCCTTTCAGACAATCTTGCAGGGGCCGCATCACATGGCAGTGGTGTGTTTGGAGCAATGAGTGCAAATTTTACCTTCGTACAGGAGGCTAGTTTCTACTCGCACTCGCACACTAGTCTCCACCCAGACAAGCAAGAGGCATTGTGGGAGTACAGGGACACATTCCAGCCAATCACAAACACCCCAAAGGGTGGAAAGTAGGCCTGGTGAGGGGTGTGGCCCAAGGAGAAGGGGTGTGCTGAGCAGGGGCTGCATAGAGAGGACTGAAGGGTCTTAGCTGGCTGAGGTTCCCTCCTCCAGTTGTAAATCATGCTGGCAGCCCATCGTATGGAATCCACCCATTTGTTTTTAACAGGCAAAACTGCAACTAGAAAACTAGCTAGAGCAAATATGATCCTATAATAGGTCTGTTTTGTCAGCAAAAAGACCGATATATCTTTGCCTTCCCGATTCCTTTTGTTCCTCCAAAACAAACCAGTCCATTACAGATTTGTCTATACCTGTAACTACCCTATAACGCTACATGTTCCCAAGGTTTCTGCTGTGGATTGTCCACATAGACACCGCAGTCCTTTCAGTGCATCCCGTGAGGAATTGTCCTTGAGGTCACAGAAGGTCCAGGAAGCACAGCAGAACTCACCTATCTTGAGTGGTACATTCAACCACAGAATAGTTATTCCCAGACTCTGCCAGGTGGGTGACAGCAGTTTTGTGATTTGTTTGCCCGTGTCAAAAGGGAGCACATCAGGGAGGGAATGAGATTAGTTTTCATACAAAGCTGCCTCTCATCTCTTGACTGGTGTGGCAATAGCTCTCCAAGGTCTCAGGCACAGATTCCCTCCTAGTCCTGATCCCTGAGAGTTTGCAAAAGCCAGAAACCGAACAAGGAACGAGCTGTACTCCTGAGCCCTCCTTCTGACTGGTATCCTAGATTTCTTTGAGCAGGGAAGACTTTTGCCAGCTCGGCTTTGCAGTTCTCCTCACTTCAAGCTGAAGAGGCAGAGGAAGCCATATGATGCTTCTTGAAGGCATAGGCCAGCCGCTGGTGCGTTTTACCACCATGCCACGCAGCTAATGCATGTTTGAAGTGGAGAAAAAGAAAGCAAGGACGCTGATTCACTTCTCATCTACAATGCCCTAATGATGTGTCACCACCACCACCTAAAGCAGCTCAAAAGCCTGGTGTGTGTTGCAGGGGGAAAGGAATACCTAATATTATCCCACTAATAACAAGAGCTGTTTATTACTTCATTTGAAAAATGCAGACTCCTTGCTGGAAGCATTCTCACTCGCTGCAGCATGCCATGGCTTGATGGAGCAAACATACCATTTGAAACACGCTTGACCTCGGTTCATCCTTAACACGCCTATCTAATTTGCTGGTGGCATAACTCTGTTAATTGAACATATGCACCACTTGCGGCATGGGACTTCGGCAAGGAACTCGTTGCCTTGTTGTTGCTTTGAGTGCAGGTTGGCACAACCAGATACCTTGCAAAGAGCGAATCCACCCAGTCCTCTCCCTTCTTCTCTTCCCACCCCCACGCCATACTTTTGAAAGGCAATGCAAAATAGGAGGTTTGGCCCCACTCTGGTGAGAATCTTCAAAGCGGGACTCCCCCCTCTGTGATCTGAAGGATTTTCAAGAAGGAATCCCCTCCAGCACTAGCAACTCTCAGAAGGGATGCCAGCACCCTGTAGAACAAAAGCTTTGAAGATGGGGCCTCCCCATTGATAGAAGTCTTTGCAGAAGCTCCATCCCTACCTTCCCTGTTGGAAAGTCTTTCAAGTGCCAGGAAGTTAGAGACTTTCAAAGGCTTCAGTCACAAAAAGGACAGGAGGACGGCCCTTTGTTTGGATCTCAGGTTGAAGGTCAGTTATAAGGTCTGCTGGAAGCGCCAGCTGCACAAAGGCAGAAAATATACCAGCCTTTTGTCAATCAAACTCACAGGGGTCTTGCTTCTGCAAAATCTTCAGCAGAAAATGTGATCATCTGTCCTGCCTTTGTGCTGCTCTTATATTCATTTTGCAATATGGGGAATTTTTGGCACTCCAGATTCTATTGGACTCCATTGGCCATCAGACCTAGCAAGCTCGATCAATAGTCTGACATTATGGGACTTGCAGTATGGAAACATCAGTGTGGGGCACATGTTCCCCATCCCTGATCCAAAGAAAGAGTCCTATTCCTCTCTTAGCATCTCCTTCTGTTCCAGAAGTTCAATTAACTCTAGATTGCCAGGTGCTACCTCCTACAGCAAAGAACCTAATTCTGTTCCTTTTCAAGGGGGAACCACTTTGTAAACTATGTTGGGTGAAATTAATAGATAACTGTAAATAGTAAGTGGCTGAAAACTGGGGGAATTGTTTATTACTGTACAAATTACACTTAGAACAGGGCTGACCAACATTTAGCCTTTCAGATGTCGCTGGACCACAATTCCCATTGTCCCTGACTTTTGACCACATGGCTGGAATTGATGGGAGTTGGAGTTCAACATTGGGAGGGCGACAGGTAAACCATCCTTGTCCTAGAAGAACTATGTAGGTTGTCTTCTGTGGACCTTCCACAATGAAAAGTGTGTGGCAGGGGAGTAATTACTGTACACCCCAAGATCTTGGTTAGGGTAATCAGGGGTCAGCAAACTTTTTCAGCAGATGGCCAGACCACTGTCCCTCAGACCTTGTGGGGGGCCGGACTATATTTTGAAAAAAATAATGAACAGATTCCTTTGCCTCACAAATATGCCACAGATGCATTTTAAATAAAAGCACACATTCTACTCATGTTAAAAACACCAGGCAGGCCCACAAATAACCCAGAGATGCATTTTAAATAAAAGGAAACATTCTACTCCTGTAAAAACACGCTGATTCCCGGACCATCCACAAGCCATATTTAGAAGGCGATTGGGCCGGATCCGGCCCCCGGGCCTTAGTTTGCCTGTTGTTGTTTAGTCGTTTAGTTGTGTCCGACTCTTCGTGACCCCATGGACCAGAGCACGCCAGGCACTCCTGTCTTCCACTGCCTCCCGCAGTTTGGTCAGGCTCATGTTTGTAGCTTCGAGAACACTGTCCAGCCATCTCGTCCTCTGTCGTCCCCTTCTCCTTGTGCCCTCCATCCTTCCCAACATCAGGGTCTTTTCCAGGGAGTCTTCTCTTCTTATGAGGTGGCCAAAGTATTGGAGCCTCAGCTTCACGATCTGTCCTTCCAGTGAGCACCCAGGGCTGATTTCCTTAAGAATGGATACGTTTGATCTTCTTGCAGTCCATGGGACTCTCAAGAGTCTCCTCCAACACCATAATTCAAAAGCATCAATTCTTTGGCGATCAGCCTTCTTGATGGTCCAGCTCTCACTTCCATACATCACTACTGGGAAAACCATGGCTTAGTTTGCCTACCCATGGGGTAAATGATCACATCAGAATTATTATAATCAGAATTAGGAATTATTGCCTGGTGTGGAATTTAACTAGGGGAAAAGGTGTTGGCATTTGCCTTCATATATCTTAGTCTTAACCTTCCTTTCTAGACTTGGTGCTGCCTCAATATAGCTGTGTGCTTCTGCCACTGGGCTCCATTGAAAACAGCTTCTCCATGTAAACCAGGAAGTGACTTCTCCAGACGATGGAACAATTCTTCTTTTAGCTCTGTGGCTGCAATCTCCTGGGTGATGCAGATGCCCTTAATAAGTTGGATGCACATGCATACTCTGTCCGTTTCCCTCCCACCCACCCATATTCCCGTGGCCCTGGGCACTGGCAATGCATGGTATGCCACTGCCTCAACCTCACATTGCTTACAAGAAAAACGTCTCAAATTGACTGCTATTGACTTGCATGAAAGACTGTAATTTGAAAATAGAGACTCTGAATGTACTCTTGTTACTTATAGAAAATCTATCTATCATCTATCTATCATCTATCTATATCTATATCTATATCTATCTATCTATATCTATCTATCTATCTATCTATCTATCTATCATCTATCTATCATCTATCTATCTATCTATCTATCTATCTATCTATCTAATCTATCATCTATCTATCATTTATCTATCTCTATCATCTATCTATATCTATCATCTATCTATCATCTATCTATCTATCTATCTATCTATCTATCTATCTATCTATCTATCATCTATCTATCTATCTTCTATATCTATATCTATCTATCTATCTATCTATCTATCTATCTATCTATCTATCTATCATCTATCTATCTATCTATCTATCATCTATCATCTATCATCTATCTATCTCTATCATCTATCTATATCTATCATCTATCTATCTATCTATCTATCTATCTATCTATCTATCTATCTATCTATCATCTATCTATCTATCATCTATCTATCATCATCTATCTATATCTATCTATCTGTCTATCTATCTAACACATAGGGGGAGGTCTTTTCAGAGGGGAAAGCTGGAGTGGGGGAACGGGCCAACAGTCACTTACCAATAGCCATTTCTCCACTTCAGACTCCTCCACTGCCATTCTACCTCTTTGGTGTGGCCCACACGAGCACGTCCATGGATCACACTTTTTGCAGCATCTCATTCAGTGTTTCCCAAACTTGGGTCTCCAGCTGTTTTTGGACTACAACTGCCATCATCCTTAGCTAGCAGGTACAGCGGTCAGGGATGATGGGAATTGTAGTTCGAAAACAGTGGGAGACCCACATTTGGGAAACCTTGCATTAGGCAATGAAAAAGGAGCTATCATCATAGCAAAATAAAAGTTCTGCTTGGTTTTTCTCTCTCTGTCTAATAGCTGTTGCTTGAATGATATGCCTGGGTCACAAATTGGGGGTGGAATAATTGATTTGATTCTGAGCTGTGCTAAAGGGGGAGTTTGTGAATCTATTGTTGGGACAGTGATACTTCTCTGTCGACCTGGGAACAAATTAAAACCTGTTTGATTGCCTTGCAGGGACGCGGATGGCGCTGTGGTCTAAACCACTGAGCCTTGGGCTTGCCAATCAAAAGGTTGGCAGTTCGAATCCCCGCAACGGGGTGAGCTCCTGTTGCTCGGTCCCAGCTCCTGCCAACCTAGCAGTTCGAAAGCACGTCAAAGTGCAAGTAGATAAATAGGTACCACTTCAGCAGGAAGGTAAACGGCGTTTCTGTGTGCTGCTCTGGTGTCAGTGTTCCGTTTTACCAGAAGCGGCTTAGTCATGACCCAGAAAAACTGTCTGCGGACAAACGCCGGCTCCCTCGGCCTGTAAAGCGAGATGAGCACCACAACCCCAGAGTCGTTCACGACTGGACTTAAATAGGTACTGCTCCGACAGGAAGGTAAACGGCATTTCCGTGCGCTGCTCTGGTTTCGCCAGAAGCGCTTAGTCATGCTGGCCACATGACCCAGAAAACTGTCTGCGGACAAACGCCGGCTCCCTCGGCCTGTAAAGCGAGATGAGCACCACAACCCCAGAGTCGTTCACGACTGGACTTAAATAGATACTGCTCCGACGGGAAGGTAAACGGCATTTCCGTGCGCTGCTCTGGTTTCGCCAGAAGCGGCTTAGTCATGCTGGACACATGACCCAGAAAACTGTCTGCGGACAAACGCCGGCTCCCTCGGCATGTAAAGCGAGATGAGCGTCACAACCCCAGAGTCGTTCACAACTGGACTTAACTATCAGGGGTCCCTTTACGTTTACCTTTTGATTGCCTTGCATTTCTGCTCTAGGCGGCAGTACTTCATTATGCTGGTGACAAGAAGGACAAACTGTTGTGTGTATGTGTGTGTGAGAGAGGGTGTGTGTGTGTGTGTGTGTGTGTGTGTATGTGGAGTACTGAACAGAGCAGCTCTAAGTCGGGGATTATTTTACCGCTTCACTAAAAACACCTACGAATTGGCCTCTGGGGTTATTGGATCCAGAGCCTCTGCACACAGAAATATTTTTTCAATCAAAGTGTTTGGTTTCTCTTGGCTTCGAGAGGCAACCTGCTTTTAGCAATGGTGCCCAATTTGGACGGCGGTGATGCCATTCTGCAGGGCTCCCACCTTCACAATAGAAACAGTGTAAGAAGCCAAAAGCCCCAGCAGCGCCTGGCTTTGCAACAAGGATTCTGGTGCAAAGATTCATGCTTGTTTGTTTAATCCACCTCCGTTTAATTTTTTTTTTTTTAAGAAACATGAATAGAGCTGCGGCTATCTGCATATTTTTCAATATATTTCCTTGCCATCCCACCCCCACCCCCCCTGACCGAGAAGGCATTTCATGTTTCCTTTCTCTGCATCTGTTTTTATAAAAGCAGGCACAGAGTGTGTTTTGGATAGTGTCTGGGAGGAGAATGAAAAGTAAATTCTCGATTGTTTTTGAGCCAGTTTCCTCTCTCCAACCCCCTCCCCCTTCCACACACCCTTCTCTCTGACTTTGCTCTTTGCAGACACATCAACGGTTTCCCTCAAGTGCTTATTATTAGCATGACAAGTCTTGTTGCCTTTGCTCTTTAATCCTTGTTGGCAAAACACATAAAACTTCCAGTTCTGTATCTGGATGGGGCACGGATTCTGCTTGTGGCTCTGTCAGCACTTGATAACGCGAAGCAAGCACCAGGAGTTAATTGCATCGTCCAAGTTGCAGAGCCGCCATTTCATCAGTATTTCTCCCTCTGCAGCCACTGGGGGCCTGGGAGGTGGGGGACAAGTGAGATACGATCTGGTGGTTTTATCACCTTCTTCTTCTTCTTCTTCTTCTTCTTCTTCTTCTTCTTCTTCTTCCTCTTCCTCTTCCTCTTCCTCTTCTTCTTCTTCAGAATAACAACAAATGCAGATCCTCCAAGTGTCCCTATTTTCCAGGGACAGTCCTGGATTTACAGAAGCCGTCCCAGTTTCTGATTTGATCCTGGAACATCCCGCTTTCCCTTAGGATGTCCCTATTTTCATCAGAGAAATGTTGGAGGGTATGGAGTTATGCAATGCTTTTTTTCTAAAAAAAAGGGGGGGTACTCTCATTTTACTACTCATATTGAAATACTGCCCCTCAGTGAGGTCAATCTTATATTCACAAAACATTTCGGGTTCTGCGTACCGCCAGAAAAAAAGCACTGGAGTTATGTGACCCCAGAGCCAAGGAGTAACTATACAAGCCCTATATCGGGAAGTGTTTTTAATGTGTGATGTTTAATTATGTTTTTATAAATGTTGGAGTCTGCCTAGAGTGACTGAGACACCCCAGTCAGTTGGGTGGGGTATAAATAATAAAATTATTATTATTATGGAATAGGTAAAAGTAAAAATCCGGGGACTGTCCCTGGGAAAAGGGGACGTCTGGTAACCTTAGTCTAGGGCAGACTAGGACCTCTGCCATTGGCTAGGGAACCAAGAACCAATGGGGTGCTGCTTTCCTTGCCTCCCAGGAAGAACACTGTGGCAAGGAGGAGAGAGAACTGTCCTCATCCATCCAACCTAAGTGAAGCGACTTCTGAGAACTTGCTTTTCCCTACCCTACTAGAAGGAACACTTAGAATGACTTTGTTGGTGCTTGTTTGCTTTCTCTCCTTCCCCTCTCAACCCTCTTTTCTTTTGCATCATGTCTTTTAACGTTGAGAGCAGCAGGTCTTCTTATGATTGAACACTGAAAGCCTCTCTGGGGGTCTTTTTAGGCTGAAGAATGAGGTGAAAAATTTGTTGAGTAAATAAACAAACTAGTGGCTCCAGAAACGTATTTGATAAGCAAGAGGAAGCAAAGGGAAAACAGGTGAAGGAAGAACAAGCTTTGTTGCATTGTGTCCCTACCAGCTTGCATATATGAGATAAAGCAGTTGCTTGTTTGGGGAGCTGCAGTGACAACAGTACCAGCCATGTTGCTGCATGGAGGAAGACACACCCCTGCTTGCTGGGGCCAACACTATAAGAAAGTCAATCTGCACCAACCCCAATACCAGTTCCTGCTTTGAAATGTCTTCCCACTATGGTGTTGCCTGAAGCAGTTTGCTTCATCCTGCTTCATGTCATAGCTGGACGGTCCAGAATTCCAGTTGCAATCATTCACTTGCACCATTTATGCTGTTCTACCAGTTGCAGTCAAAGGGGAATGAGGTTTTTTTGTTTAGAGGGGAGGCATTGTTCTACTTTACTCCTTGTAGCAGCACTTCTTACCCTAAGTAAGGGCCTTTGGTGTCACTGCTGAACCTCATCCGTGGAAAGCCCTCAGAGGCTTGTCTGAAGCCAACTTTTTGAGTGGCTGGTTTCTTTTGACTACGCAACATATGCAACGATAAGCACACAACATTTCCATGACAGTACAATTTGCAGATGGATCAGGTTTGACACTTGCAGATTCTCACTGGTATCGCATTCTCCCCATCATTTCCACAAGTCTTTGCAAAAGAGCCAGTGTGGTGTAGTGGTTAAGAGTGGTAGACTCGTAATCTGGTGAACCGGGTTCGATTCCCCGCTCCTCCACATGCAGCTGCTGGGGGACCTTGGGCTAGTCACACTTCTCTGAAGTCTCAGCCTCACTCACCTCACAGAGTGTTTGTTGTGAGGGAGGAAGGGAAAGGAGATTGTTAGCCGCTTTGAGACTCCTTCAGGTAGTGATATAACGGGATATCAAATCCAAACTCTTCTTCTTCTTCTGGAACACATATACCAGCTTGTAAGAATGGGTACAAGAACCCCACAAGGTTCCCCCATCGGCCTGCTATGAGAGCTCAATCTCTTCAATAGCAGAATTATTCATGTCACAGTGACCCACTCTTATATGGAGAAGTGAGATTCTGTTTCTCAGTCTTGGCCACTCCCAACCTGGCCACAACTGGCAGAAAATGGACATCCTCCTTACATAGTGGAACCTCGGTTTTTGAACGTAATCCATTCCGGAAGACTGCTCGACTTCCAAAATGTTTGAATACCGAGGCTCAAAGGGTTGTCAGCAAATTCAATTGAAAAAAATTAAAAACATGCAGCGGAAGCCGTTTGACTTTGGAGGCGCGTTTGAAAATGGAAGCATTTACTTCGGGGGTTTTGGCATTTGAGTTCCAAAACGTTAGTCAACAGAGATGTTCACGAACCGAGGTTCTACTGTATGTGTACATTTCTTGATATAACAAGCAGTGCTAACGCTACCTCAGGGAGGAAAATAGTGTTAGTAATGCCCAAAATTGCTTCATAGATTTCCAATGCAAAGCTTTGAACCCTGGGGCAGCCTCACCACATGTGAAACAGTGTCCCCACCATACTATGGCTTCTCCAACAGAGCAGAGACAGCAAACTCTTTATCCTGTGTTGTCTCAGGGGTGTATAATGCCACATTTACATTGTCATTATGATCTAAATAAAAATATTGTGGCATTGTGTTACAGAAAATAAGTATACAAATGCGTATAAAGAGGATAAGTGGACGTAAGAAGGAAATAAAGTAAAAAGTATACAAAACAGCAAAGATAACAGGTATGCATGAATGGAATGAGGTCCTCTCATGCAATGGGACTTTCCGCCCCTCCCCTCATGCAGGGGGGAGACGGGAGAGAGGTCTTGTTGCACAAGCGCACCTCTCTCCATACACTTAGCACCATGTTGAGTTCCACCCACTGTCTCTTACTACCTATTTGAAACATGGATTGATCCAGGGGGTGCTGAGTGAGGAACGTGGCAGCCATTGAGAGACTTCACAATGGGACTGTTCTTCGTCTCCCTCAGCATCAACTCATATTAATTTCACCAGGTAACCATTATGTTAAAAAATGATTGTGGAAGTCAATCCATATGCATGTTTTCAAAGAAAGACAACTGTCTGTGATGTCATGTTTGAAGTAAAACTCCGCGTTCTACTTTTATTATTCTACTGCCAGAAATGATACCCGGTGTAAGAAGGCAAGAACTTTGTCCTGGAACTAGGTCGGCCACTCCTAGTTCCTAATTGGACAAAGCTAAAAGTATTAACAATAAGAAAGGAAAATGAATCTGGACAAAAAGCAGATCCTTTGCTCGTGAGAGACTGTCTCGGAACTAATATGCATCTCTACTGGGAAACATCACCAAATTCTCAGTTGTCTACACCTGATGATACCGTGACAGAGTGAGCTCCCATTGCTCTGTCCCAGCTTCTGCCAACCTAGCAGTTCCAAAGCATACCAGTGCGAGTAGATAAATAGGTACCGCTGTGGCGGGAAGGTAAACAGTTTTTCCATGCGCTCTGGTTTCTGTCACGGTGTTCCGTTGCGCCAGTAGCGGTTTAGTCCTGCTGGCCACATGACCCAGAAAGCTGTCTGTGGACAAACGCCAGCTCCCTTGGCCTAAAAGCGAGATGAGCGCCACAATCCCATAGTCACCTTTGATTGTACTTAACCGTCCAGGGGTCCTTTACCTTTTACTTTTAGCTCCAATATGTGAATTTAGCATGTTACAGTGGTACCTCGGGTTAAAAACTTAATTCTTTCTGGAGGTCTGTTCTTAAACTGAAACTGTTCTTAACCTGAAGCACCACTTTAGCTAATGGGGCCTCCTGCTGCCGCTGCACCGCCACTGCACAATTTCTGTTCTCATCCTGAAGCAAAGTTCTTAAACCGAGGTAATATTTCTGGGTTAGCGGAGTCTGTAACCTGAAGCGTATGTAACCTGAAGCGTATGTAACCTGAGGTACCACTATATTTCATATTATCCACTGAAGAGATGAGCCTTTTCAGGATTTTGGTGCCCTCTCAAAAATTAATTCAGCTACAATGCCAACATCTTAAAAACTACAACTTCCTAAATACAGTAGACATGAGAAATTCTGCTACATCAGACTAGTGTGGACTTCCCAATGGACATGTCAATCTTGGTTTTCATTCTGAAGGTATTTAAATTTCATCCTCTCTGAGTAAGTCGCCTTACGTCTCAAACAGCTTCACAGGGGCAAGTTGGCCACAATCAGTGGCTTGAGTCTTGGGGCCTAAGCACCTTTGAAGGTGGCCTCTAAAGTCTTTGTAGACTTGCAGAGCAATGTGGTAGAACCAAGGCATGTTTGCACTGCCGGAGGATCCCTGTCTCCCCAAAGATGATGTGATCTCATTTGTTAAAGAACTTCTGATCCAAGACCAACCATTGTTTGGTGTCTCAGGCTGGCAGCATGGAAGGTCCCACACACACATTCTTCTCCACCGCTGGTCCTGTGGTGTTTGATTTCAGTGTTTTGTTAAAGGGGTGTTCCTTTGTCACAGGCCCAGCGCCACACCATGAATATTCAAATTAACAGGTAGAGGGGACCAGATGCCTGGTCTGGTGTAGATCACCAATCTTCTCTTGACTTTGATGGTTTTAGCAAAGGCTAATTCCAGCAGAGGAGGCAGAGATAGCTAATCACCAAAGGGAACTTAAAAAAAATAATAATATCCCATTGAATACATTTTTTGCTTTAAATATACAGAAGCAGTCCTGGAAGGAACATGATCAAGCAATCACATGCATGTGCGTGCACACACACAAATGAAACGACTGACCACTATGAAAGAGCAAGCTTTTAAAATGCTGCATTCTAGCTGAAAAGGTCTTTGTGTGGGTTTTAAAGAACGTTAAATTAGATGTACATTTAACAGTGTAGAGCACTCAGTCCAGTAGATCTCCACTGCAATCTCCTCTGAAGTAAAAAATAAAATAAAATCACAAAGGATTGTGATGTTTCGTCTTAGAGACTTTCTCTCTCAGAAAAGACTGAACTTTTTTTTTTTTTAAGAGCTACATCCTGGTGAAATATCCTCCGTTCTTCTCTCTCTTTTTTTTTCTTGCTGAAGCTGCAGATGTACATTATGCTAGTGTGGAAAAAAAATAGCTAATTAAACTGCATAGGCTCTGCAGGAGGCAGAGAAGGCCTGCAGTGCGCAGGGAATGATTGATTTGGACTGTCACACAGCTCTGCTGGGTGTCATAACTTAGTGACAAATAAAGGATTAGAGTGTCCCAGAGTAGCGCTCTCCCTTTTATTGTTCACCAGACATCAAAGCACAAAAGCATATTAGCATTTTTAATAAGTAGTTAGGTCAGTCTGTGGCTTACAGTTTGGAATTACTTTATGGAAAGCAAAAGAAGAAGGAGAAGAAAGAAAGAAAGAAGAAGAAAAAAACACTAACCCAAACTTCTTGGTAGATTAAAATACAGAATGCCCACAAGGCAGGAATGATCCTTCCATTGCTTTCGATTGAGATTGTATTATTTGTCTAAAGCATGCAGGGAGGAAACGTTTCTTAGCGTATTGTCTACCAGGGCTAGATCTGTAGCTGTTAAAAATAGAGACAATTGCACACACCAAAAAGAGAGGAGGGAGGGACGTAAAGTTGAAAGAAGGATCATCAAAGGAGCAATAAGCAACAAAGTGGTTTGTGTGGAATGTTGCACGTTGATTGTTCATGCAGAGTGGATTGTCCCCCACCCCCAATACAATTAGTGCATTCTGGACATTTTGAAAAAGACAAAAAAAAAAGAGACAGCTTATCTCCAATAAACATATATCCCTAAAAAAATAAAACTGTTGGCTTTTTTTTTTTTAAAGAAAGGGGGAAAACATCGGTGGTGATGGGGGAATAGAATGTGTTTACCTAAAAGTAAACAGAAACAGGCTATGGAAATGGGAACTACGATGGAATAATGAAGTTCGCTTCCTTATCAGCAATAGTATTAGCTCACCAGAACTGTTAACATTTCTCTTTGAAGTGGGCACAGTCCTTTCCCTCCCCCAACTCCCCTTCTGCTTCTTCTTCTTCGTTTTTTTGATCGTGCTGCTCTGTAATGACAGAACCGGAGGAAATGACAGGATTGCAACTTCATTTGCATATCAGATGTCAAATCTATATTGCTCTTTTGAAGCTGGCAGATCTATATGCATTCATATGCAGGAATGCCACTGTACGGCATTGCTGAGAGTGCTAAGGCTCATCTGCCTGTACAACACATCTAGCAGCAGCAATGCTCTAGTTAAGAACAGAATTAGGACTTTAATTCCAATGTACAGGTGATTACAGTTCCTGACCCAATTGCTAAAAAGGGAATGCCTCCCTCCCAGCTCTTTTTTCTTTTTGCTATGAGCGCGATTTCTAATAATTCATACTATATTTTACTGACCAATATATTGACAAACCTTTCTGACCTGAACCTGATCTTAAAAAGTCAGCGGGACGGTGTCCTTTGCGGTAAAACCCATGCAATCTGATTTCTTTAGGAGGAGCTTCCAAGGGTATTCTGCACCTTGGTGACTGGCAGTCTGATCCTGGCTCTGCTTTCTTATAAGTTAATGGGTTGAGGGTTATAGCCTTGGGCTGCGCTCTCTTAACTGGGCTTGAGAAAAGGCCCCGCGACACATTGGAATGGCAGCCTGGGCAGGATTAGCAAGCCTGAACAATCAGATTTGTTGAATTCAAGTTAATCCGCGATCCTGACATCTGTGGGACCCCTTCTCATGACCCAGATCAACCACATTTTTTCCTCGAGGTGACTGCAAAGTCACGGCGCAACAGGCAAGTGGTTGTTTGAATCAACTGGTTATTTGTTTTCAGTTGCCTTTTTTTTCTATTTAAAAGAAGTAGACATGGTATCATATAACCAAGTCACCCTTTGAAGAACACTGCCAAATCTTTTCATGCGCTACCTGTGACTAATAAGACCAAAGTCTGGGAATTGCTGCAATACAGCATGGCAGCTTCAGATCGTATTACCTCTTTTAGAATTTTTTTGTTCACCCTTTCATTGCAAGATACAAATAGGCAGATTCCCAACATAAAAAGTGGCAGTTAGGTATCATCTTGACAGGCACTAAACAGTGATTAAACAGCAAAAGAGAAACCAACATGAACATGCATACATATATATATCTACATGCATTTTCATTTATTGGTTCATTCAGGTGAATGAACCAATAAATGCAAATGAGAATACAAGTGGCCCTCAAGTCTCTTCATGGCAGCTGTGCTAGAAGAGTGGAGGGACTGCATAAGCCGGGGTGAAGTGTATATAATATTATATATATATATATTAATATATTATTCATAACTTCTTTTATTGGCACAAGTAGGGTGTATTTAATTTCTTTATAATATCTTGCTGTAAATCCATCCGGTCCCGGTGTCTTTCCACTTTTCCTGAATGCAGCCTTCAGTGCATTCAGTGCAATGCAGCATTGCATTAATTGTCACAAAAGTGATTTGGAAATGCATTCATGGCGATAGAGGTAATAATGGAGAGGTCATCTCTACCAGAGTCAAGGCAACATTTCTGAGTTAGAGACAAAACTGTCTCCTTAGCCACTGCACAGCGATTTTCAGGAACCTCAAGAGTTGATAGTCATCGTCTATCGTAGCAGTGCCCAGATTCCTAGACACTCTCCCCAGTCAAAACTGTTTCCCATATGGGCTTGTTTGTTTCGGCGTGAGGTGGGTTGGGGTGGGAGCAAGGCTGGGACAATGAAAGAAAAACTCTACCCAGTTTATGAACTTGGTGTGCACTTCGCTTAATGGGAGAATGTGCAAACTGTTCCCTCTGAAAAGCAGTGTGCTTGAGCTGACATTGTTTGACATGAATGTTCTGTTTGTGGTGATCAACGCATAATAATGGCTCATTCATCATTTGAAACAACACTCAGTGAATCACAAGCATGCATGTGGGAATACGACTGCAGCAAAGGAGGCTTTACAGCTGCTGCAAAGTGGCAGCAAAGATACTGCTGGTGTTGCAGTCCCCATCTCTTCAAGGTTCTTTTTGTCATGCACATACAGATTCCCCGAACATAACCCAGACAACGCATGCATTTCCTTCTAGTGGTTCAGGAATAAGAAATCAATGCCAACAAACATCCCTGATGGACTCATGGCAATGCGACACAAATGTCCTATTTATCCTATTAAAACACACACACACATGCCACAAAATCTGAAAAGGTAAAGGTAAAGGACCCCTGACAGTGAAGTCCAGTCACAGATGACTATGGGGTTGAGGCGCTCATCTCGCTTTACAGGCCGAGGGAGCAGGTGTTTGTCTGCAAATGGTTTTTCCGGGTCATGTGGCTAGCATGACTAAGCCGCTTCTGGCGCAACCAGAGCAGCGCACAGAAACGCCATTTAGCTTCCCACTGGGGCGGTACCTATTTATCTACTTGCACTTTTGGGCATGCTTTCAAACTGCTAGGTTGGCAGGAGCTGGGACCAAGCAATGGGAGCTCACCCCATTGCAGGGATTCGAACCACCAACATTCTGATCGGCAAGCCCAAGAGGCTCAGTGGTTTAGACCACAGCGCCACCCGCATCCCCTAAAATCTGAACAGCAGCTTAAAGTCCTGTGCAGCATATACCCTGAAGGAATAATATTTATCTCTTTATTTATCTCTTTATTTATGATGATGGCATCCGTTGCAATGTTATGCTAGTCTGTGGTGCTGGCAAATCTCTGTACTACTGCATGTGTGGAATTTCAGTATGTTTCTGAGCACTATTCAAAGTGCTGGTGTTGACCTTTAAAGCCCTAAATGGCCTCGGCCCAGTATACCTGAAGGAGCGTCTCCACCTCCATCGTTCAACACAGACACTGAGGTCCAGCTCCGAGGGCCTTCTGGCAGCTCCCTCACTGCAAGAAGCGAAGCTACAGGGAACCAGGCAGAGGGCCTTCTCGGTGGTGGCACCCGCCCTGTGGAATGCCCTCCCATCAGATGTCAAGGAAATAAACAGCTATCTGACTTTTAGAAGACATCTGAAGGCAGCCCTGTTTAGGGATTTTTTAAATGTTTGATGTTTTATTGTATTTTTAATATTTTGTTGGAAGCCACCCAGAGTGGCTGGGGAAACCCAGCCAGATGGGCAGGGTATAAATAAATAAATAAATAAATAAATAAATAAATTTATTATTATTATTTATTACACCCTTGCTGAAAACCTCATCGAGTTATTTGATCTGAACTGAACAGCTTGCAAAGGATCCGCAAGTCAGTTCTTTGGTTTGGAATACAGCAGGTTGATTTCAGTGATGATGATGATTGTCACACATTTCAAACCTCATAGCCTTCCTTTGCACGGATTTCTTTTTGTGCCCCCAAAAAACCCTTCTCTATCTTTTTAGAATGTTGGCATTCATTCATGAATAGTCAGTTTAGATTTTTCTGAATTCTTTTTGTGCCATTTGGCTTTCTCTTCCGGCGCACGATGTACAGTGGCTTACAATAATGAATATGAGGGCTCCTGTGCATTTGGAAATAATAGCTCCAATCTTTTCCCCTAGACAGAGTCACTTCCCATTGTACAACTAACATTCCACGTTTGGGATTCATGAAAGCAGCTTTCTCTTCTCTTTAAACGATTTTACGTCATGAAGTCCCCCCACATTCACACTCCTTCCAGTTGATACATTTATACACTATTCATGAAATATGCCTTTATCCACATACGCACTCAAAAGGGCCTTTCAAATAATAATGATATAGTGGCTTGGTGATAATCTGTGAGATGACTTCAGCTATTAAACTGGTTTGGGGCCAAAAACTAGGGTTTGTCCTTCTCAAGAAACAGGAACAGCCATTTTAGATCTGGTCCTAACCAATGTTGATGACCTGGTTAGTGGGGTAGAAGTGGAAGAATCATTAGGCGCGAGTGATCATGCTCTTCTGAAGTTTACTATACAGTGGAAAGGAGCAGCCAAGCATACTAGGACTCAGTTTCTTGACTTTAAGAAAGCCGACTTCATAAAACTTAGGGAAGTGCTGGGTGAGATCCCATGGACAGTAATACTAAAAGGAAAGGGAGTTCATGATGGCTGGGAGTTTGTTAAGAGGGAGATAGTAAAAGCACAACGTCAGGCAATACCAATGAGACAGAAACATGGAAGGTGCCTAAAGAAGCCAGGGTGGCTATCTAAAGAACTTTTAACTGAGTTAAGATTAAAAAGGATGTGTACAAAACATGGAAAAGGGAAACCACCAAAGAGGAATTCAAACAAATAGCCAGCACATGTAGACACAAAGTCAGAAAAGCTAAAGCACAGAATGAACTCAGGCTTGCTAGAGAGGTTAAAAGCAATAAAAAAGGCTTTTATGGGTATGTTCGTAGCAAAAGGAAGAACAAAGAAACAGTGGGGTCACTCAGAGGAGAAGATGGTGCAATGCAAACAGGGGACACAGAAAGGGCTGAACTCCTCAATGCCTTCTTTGCCTCAGTCTTCTCCGATAAAGAAAACAATGCCCGACCTGAAGAATTTGGAGCAAATGATTCAGCAAAGGAAACACAGCCCAGAATAACTAAGGAGATAGTACAAGAATACTTGGCTAGTTTAGATGTATTCAAGTCTCCAGGGCCAGATGAACTGCATCCAAGAGTATTAAAGGAACTGGCAGATATGATCTCAGAACCACTGGCAGTCATCTTTGAGAATTCCTGGAGAACAGGCGAAGTCCCGGCAGACTGGAGGAAGGCAAATGTTGTCCCTATTTTCAAAAAGGGGAAAAGAGAGGACCCAAATAATTACCGCCCAGTCAGTCTGACATCAATACCAGGGAAGATTCTGGAGCAGATCATTAAGCAAACAGTCTGTGAGCACCTAGAAAGGAATGCTGTGATCACCAATAGTCAGCATGGATTTCTGAAAAATAAGTCATGTCAGACTAACCTGATCTCGTTTTTGACAGAATTACAAGCCTGGTAGATGAAGGGAACACAGTGGATGTAGCCTACCTTGATTTCAGCAAGGCATTTGACAAGGTGCCCCATGATATTCTTGTAAAGAAGCTGGTAAAATGCGGTCTTGACTATGCTACCACTCAGTGGATTTGTAACTGGCTGACTGACCGAACCCAAAGGGTGCTCATCAATGGTTCCTCTTCATCCTGGAGAAGAGTGACTAGTGGGGTGCCACAGGGTTCTGTCTTGGGCCCGGTCTTATTCAACATCTTTATCAACGACTTGGATGATGGACTCAAGGGCATCCTGATCAAATTTGCAGATGACACCAAACTGGGAGGGGTGGCTAACACCCCAGAGGACAGGATCACACTTCAAAACGACCTTGACAGATTAGAGAACTGGGCCAAAACAAACAAGATGAATTTTAACAGGGAGAAATGTAAAGTATTGCACTTGGGCAAAAAAAATGAGAGACACAAATACAAGATGGGTGACACCTGGCTTGAGAGCAGTACATGTGAAAAGGATCTAGGAGTCTTGGCTGACCACAAACTTGACATGAGCCAACAGTGTGACGCGGCAGCTAAAAAGCCAATGCAATTCTGGGCTGCATCAATAGGAGTATAGCATCTAGATCAAGGGAAGTAATAGTGCCACTGTATTCTGCTCTGGTCAGACCTCACCTGGAGTACTGTGTCCAGTTCTGGGCACCACAGTTCAAGAAGGACACTGACAAACTGGAACGTGTCCAGAGGAGGGCAACCAAAATGGTCAAAGGCCTGGAAACGATGCCTTATGAGGAACGGCTAAGGGAGCTGGGCATGTTTAGCCTGGAGAAGAGGAGGTTAAGGGGTGATATGATAGCCATGTTCAAATATATAAAAGGATGTCACATAGAGGAGGGAGAAAGGTTGTTTTCTGCTGCTCCAGAGAAGCGGACATGGAGCAATGGATCCAAACTACAAGAAAGAAGATTCCACCTAAACATTAGGAAGAACTTCCTGACAGTAAGAGCTGTTCGACAGTGGAATTTGCTGCCAAGGAGTGTGGTGGAGTCTCCTTCTTTGGAGGTCTTTAAGCAGAGGCTTGACAACCATATGTCAGGAGTGCTCTGATGGTGTTTCCTGCTTGGCAGGGGGTTGGACTCGATGGCCCTTGTGGTCTCTTCCAACTCTATGATTCTATGATTCAAGAGGTGCATTTATAGTGTCTGCTGCCTCTGGACACAAGAGATTCTCCCCTCACACTCCAAAAAGAAACTATTTAGCCTTAGAATTAACCCACAACCAGCAGCAGGAAGGATTGTGTGCTATGGCACTTTTCTTGAAAGACATCTTCTCCTTCATGAAGCCACTTCACCTTCTCTTATCTAGGAAGGCAGTGTGTGGCAGGACATGCACAGAAGCATGAGAATACAAGGGGCTGTTCTGACTCCCCTCACCAATCCCTCTGCCATAACCCCCTGGAGAGGACACTCAGGAGCAACTGTTGTTGACGTTCCACCACATCTCAACCTCCCATAAAGCATTGGTGGGGAATTTGCAGCCTAAGCATTCCATCCCTTTCCAGACTGCAATCTCCTTCATTGCTTTGGAGCTGTTTAAAAAAGACAAGACTGCTGCCAACACAAAGATAGCAGTCCACCCCAATCAGATGGAAAGTTCCTAGAGTCCCTCTTTTCCAGGGACAGTCCAGGATTTACAGAAGCCGTCCCAGTTTCTGATTTGATCCTGGAATGTCTCGCTTTTCCTTAGGACGTCCCTATTTTCATCAGAGAAATGTTGGAGGGTACAGAGTTATTCAACCCCCAAGTCATCTGAAGGCAGTCCCGCATAGGGAAGTTTTTAAATGTACAGTATAATGTGTTGTGTTCCAGATTTAAAAACTTCCGTATGCGGGAATGTATAAGTATAAGACTGGGGCAACACAGTCAGATGGGTGGGCCTCGGTCCAGTATACCTGAAAGAGCGTCACCACCTCCATCGTTCTGCCTGGACACTGAGGTCCAACGCCGAGGGCCTTCTGGCGGTTCTCTCGCTGCGAGAAGCCAAGTTACAGGGAACCAGGCAGAGGGCCTTCTCGGCAGTGGCACCCGCCCTATGGAACGCCCTCTCACCAGATGTCAAAGAGAAAAATAACTACCAAACTTTTAGAAGACACCTGAAGGTAGCCCTGTTTAGGGAAGCTTTTAATGTTTAATAGGTTATTGTATTTTAGTGTTTTGTTGGAAGCCGCCCAGAGTGGCTGGGGAAACCCAGCCAGATGGGCGGGGTATAAATAAATTATTATTATTATTATTATTATTATTATTATTATTATTATTATTATTTTGCTCATCAACCCCCCTGCTATTCCCCCATTAACCCCTAGAGCTTCCCCTTTCCAACCCTTGCTACTACTAAGCTTGCTTTCTCATTTCTGAATCCACTTCTCTCTCCTGTTCTGCAGCCCTGCTTTGCCCACTGTCTGACCTGTCACTGGTAAGGACTTAAAGCAGCCACTTGGAGCAACCGTTGTGGTCTTTGTTGAAGTAACATGTGCTCTGATTGGCTGTGTGGTTCTGAGGGAGTTTTTCCTCTGTGTGTTTGGTTGAATGTCTTCCTGCTATGTACGAGGTTTCACACTTGCTGTTAAGCAAAAGAGGTACCTTCTTCGCCCACTGCGCACAGCTGAACAGTGGTGTTCAGCCTTGGCTCCCCAACCCAGCCACAGTGAATCCTATAAGTGCACACCTACTTTCAAGGGGCATTCCACTTGCTTCGTACATCACACATAAAGTGTGAAAAAAGGAAGGGTGAGTCATGTGCTTCTTTGTTCCCTCTGTGGAATGTCTAAAGACACCCTGATATTTCCTGCACAAGCACAGCAGCACCGCACAAAGAAAGATATAAATCAGGTCTGACTGCTAGGAGATGCCCAAGAGTGTCCTGACCTCCCACAATAACAATATGAAAAGATACACATTAAAATAGTCTTCCGTGAGATAACAGCGACTTCTGAAATTCCTTTCGCCCTTCTTCCCTTTTCCTTCCCCGACCGCCCCCACCTCCCTTTTTCTCATCTCTCTTTGGTTGCTTGGCCCATATGTTGCTAATTTTCTGTCTTTTCAAAGTGCTCTGTTTCATTTAAACTCCAAATACATTCTATTCATCGCTAGTGAATACTAGGGGAGGCAGGGGTTGGGGGGGGGAGGAGAGAGAAAAGCTATCACAAAGGTCAGCGTTCTCCTTAATATATAAAATAAATGAGCAAAGCGCTATGTTTCTTTTTCTTTAGCTTATTACTTTTTCTTAATCCACTTTTTAACTCTACTGTGTGAGATCACAGGAGGGACTTAAGCAATCATGCCTAGAAAGGCTTCTTATGTATTCCGGGGGAAGAAAGAGAGGAGAAAAGTTCCTCAAAACTGCATGCCTTTGTAGTTAGTGCTGCTAGGCAGGACTTCGGCAAAGCTAATTACTGGTCAGCAAGCTGGTGCTTCACAGAAGAAGTGGCAGAAGCAGACTTTGCGTGCCAGAGGGACCTGCTGCCTTCCCTGTCTCCGTGCCTTTCAAGCTGGAGTCCTAGGACAGGCCTCGTTGGGTGTATACCTCATTGAATTCAATGGGACTCAGGTCCAAGGCACTCTACATTGGATCAGGCCACATAGATTCTCCTCAGAAATTATGGACAGGACAGTACAGTGGTACCCCGGTTGCCGAACATAATCTGTTCCGGAAGACCGTTTTACTTCCGAAACATTCGACGACCGAGGGGCAAAGTCAATGGAGAAAATTGAAAAACACACGACGGAAGCCGTTTGACTTCTGAGGCACGTTCGAAAACGGAAGCAATTACTTCTGGGTTTTCGGCGTTCAGAAACCAAAACATTCAGCTTCCATGACACTTGAAAACCTAGGTACCACTGTAATAAAAAGGAGGAACAAAGAAAGTAGACCAACCAAGATTTAAGCTAACATAGCACTTATGGTAAAGGATGTGGACATGCTCAGAGGGATCTTAATAATAATAATAATAATAATAATAATAATAATAATAATAAATTTTATTTATATCTCGCCCTCCCCAGCCGAAGCCGGGCTCAGAGCGGCTAACAACAGTAACAATCTTGAGATGGAGGATGGAATCCAGGAGGCATCCTTAAGAGGAAATGTTGTAGTGATGGGTGACTTCAATTACCCTCACATAGGCCTCATCTTCACTATACCATATGCCTCAACTGCCCCAATTAAATTGGGAGATCCTGTTTTTGGGCTCTGTGCTCTAGTGCGGATCATGTGACCTGCACAGGAATGCAGCAAGGAAGACACGCATCCCGGTTTTCGGCCTCAGCATGTTGGAGGGTATGCTATACATGCAAAGTAGTACCGTATCACCTCAAACGGTCATGGCTTCCCCCAAAGAATTCTGGGAACTCTAGTGCTGAGAGTTGTTAGGAGATCCCTATTTCCCTCAGAGAGTTACAATGTCCAGTGTTTCCTGAAAATGGGATTGGTTGTTAAAATACTCTGGGAATCGGAACAATGGTCTGATTCGCAATAAGACAGCTTTTTTTATTCCTGTGTTTTAGAACAGTGATTCTTAAACTCCCCACTCCCCATGAAAATTGCAGATGGAGTTGGTGATACCAGTGAATGATTTATTTATTATTTTGGCCTTTTGTAGCAACTGTAATGCATTGTACTAAATCAAAGCCTCCAACATTTCTCTGATGAAAATAGGGACATCCTATAACAACAACAACAACAACAACAACTTATTTTATTATTTATACCCTGCCCATCTGACTGGGTTGCCCCAGTCACTCTGGGCGGCTTCCAACATATATAAAAACATAATGAAACATTAAACATGAAAACATTAAACATTAAGAAACTTCCCTATACAGGGCTGCCTTCAGATGTCTTCTAAAGGTTCAGAGTTACTCATCTTCTTGGCTCAGGGGTCACATAACTCCATATCCTTCAACATTTCTCTGATGAAAACAGGGATGTTCTGAGGAAAAGCGGGACATTCCGAGATCAAATCAGAAAATGGGACGGCTTCTGTAAATCTGGGACTGTCCCTGGAAAATAGGGACATTTGGAGGGTCTGCTAGATGCTGTATGATTTTTAAAAGTGTTCCACAGAATTCATTCAATAAATAAAATATAAGTAATAAAAGAAACAATGAAAACACAATGTAAGATCAATATGATTATTTAATGTTTACATTCTGCAGACCACTCAGTGAAGCTCCTGGACCACAATTTTGGAGTCCCTGTTCTCCCATTGGAGTTCCCTCAAGGATCAACCTGTGCTTTTTAACTTGTTCAGAAATGATCTACCGTTAGCGGTGAGCAGTGAGGTAGCCAAGCCTGTTGGTGATACCCAATTGTTCAGGCTAGTTAGAGCATAAAGGGATCGCAAAGAGTTCTGAAACGATCCCTCCATACTGGGTGAATGGGCAGGGAAATGACAAACGTAACTGCAAGTGCAAAGTAATGTGAATTGGGGGTGGAGGGGGAGAAGAAAGTTTAAATTTCACAAACACAGTCAAAGATCTGAACTGGTGGAGACTGACCAGGAAGCAGATCTCAGGGTTGTGGTGGTTACCTTGATGAAGATGTTAGGAGGCAAATCTCCTGTATCTTCACTCATGTGACACATATACGGTACTTCCTTCTGAATCTAATACTGATTTTGTCTCATTGTTTACTCCCATTCAATCATTAAAGTAACTCAGAACACAAACATAATTAATTCTCTTTCTGTTTTAATCAAAGATTGTTTTTTAAAAAATCCTTACAGAAATTCATATTTAAAACACTATTTAATCAAAAAGTGCAAAACATTATTAGTAGTATCCTTCAATTTATGTCCCACTCTCCCTCCCAAAGGGACCCAGGGTGACAAATGCTTTTAAGATTATTATTTTTAAAAAAAACCCTGTATATATGTATATTTTAAATGGGTATTTTTAATGAGAACTGTATTGCAAAATATGCAGATCTGAGTTCTGGACACCCAGCATTTTCATTCAATAAAACGAATCATAGCACAATACGTCAAACAATTAATACATCTATACGTTTTAAAACACACACACACACAGCCTATTAACTGCAACAAATTCATTGGTTTGATTTCAGCTGGTGTCCATCAAGCATTTCCAGTTTTCCCCAAAGGCATCAGTGAAAGGGTTTTTAAACAGTCCTGGTTTTCCCAGTAGTGATGTATGGAAGTGAGAGCTGGACCATATAGAAGGTTGATCACAAAAGAATTGATGCTTTTGAATTATGGTGCTGGAGGAGACTCTTGAGAGTCCCATGGACTGCAAGAAGATCAAACCTCTCCATTCTTAAGGAAATCAGCCCTGAGTGCTCACTGGAAGGACAGATCCTGAAGCTGAGGCTCCAATACTTTGACCACCTCATGAGAAGAGAAGATTCCCTGGAAAAGACCCTGATGTTGGGAAAGATTGAGGGCACAAGGAGAAGGGGACGACAGAGGACGAGATGGTTGGACAATGTTCTCGAAGCTACCAGCATGAGTTTGAACAAACTGCAGGAGGCAGTGGAAGACAGGAGTGCCTGGCGTGCTCTGGTCCATGGAGTCATGAAGAGTCGGACACAACTAAACAACTAAACAACAACACCAAAAACCCATCAGTGAAGGTGCTCTATGCATTTCCAAGGGTCTGTCCTGATCTAACAAATGTACATTTGAAATCTTGTTGCTTTCTAACCCTGATTCAAAATAGATATTATTATGATTTATTTTTATTTTAAATCCCTTTGAGTACATGCTGTATGGCTTCCTCTTTGCAATGCAGAGCTGCCCGCCACTCCTCTCATATATCAGAGGTTATGACACAGCCAAATTTGAATAGCACTACCACTTGAAAGGGACGCGGGTGGCGCTGTGGGTAAAACCTCAGTGCCTAGGACTTGCTGATCGTAAGGTCGGCAGTTCGAATCCCCGCGGCGGGGTGAGCTCCCGTCGTTCGGTCCCAGCTCCTGCCCACCTAGCAGTTCGAAAGCACCCCTAAGTGCAAGTAGATAAATAGGTACCGCTTTATAGCGGGAAGGTAAACAGCGTTTCCGTGTGCAGCGCTGGTGCTGGCTCGCCAGCTGCAGCTTCGTCACGCTGGCCATGTGACCCAGAAGTGTCTTCGGACAGTGCCGGCTCCCAGCCTCTTGAGCAAGATGAGCGCGCAACCCTAGAGTCGGACACGACTGGCCCTGTCAGGCAGGGGTACCTTTACCTTTACCTTTTACCACTTGATAACAACCACCTATGGCACCTTAGAGACTAAACAGATTTATTATAAGTTTTGTTGACTCAAACCTACTTCAGCTGCGTGAAGACTTTGCTGGCAGGTATAAAATGGAGAAAATGGTAAGGTGAGAGCTGAATGGCAATGAGATGCATCAATGGCAGTCCGTGATATTTGGAGCTTAAATGTGTGTAAAAATAGACACTGCGCCTTTTGCAAAAAGCAGACTGGTGATTCAGCACTGCTGAGATTACTGCAGTAGCACTTTAATGCATGCAGTGGGATTTTTCTTTTTTAAAACCCTTTGTCCCTCTGGAAGTTTCTAGAGTGTGTAGAGATGAGGTGGGCCAGTGACATGCAACAGATTAAGTACACAGTGCTGTGTGTGTCTGCAATACCTCCTTGAACACCAAATGCTCTGGAGCAGGGGTAGGCAACCTAAGGCCCATGGGCCGGATGCGGCCCAATCGCCTTCTCAATCCGGCCCGCGGACAGTCTGGTAATCAGCATGTTTTTACATGAGTAGAATGTGTGCTTTTATTTCAAATGCATCTCTGGGCTATTTGTGGGGCGTAGGAATTTGTTCATCCCCCCAAAAAAATAGTCCGGCCCACCACATGGTCTGAGGAACGGTGGACCAGCCCATGGCTAAAAAGGGTTGCTGACCCCTGCTCTGGAGGGTAGGACTTCAACCAGTGGCTTCAAGCTACAAGAAATAAGATTCCAACTAAACATCAGGAAGAACGTTCTGACAGAGAGAGCTGTTCGATGGTGGAATGGTCTCCCTCAGGAGGTGGTGAACTCTCCTTCTTTAGAGGTTTTCAAGCAGAGGTTGGATGGCCATCTGTCATGGATGCTTTAGCAGAGATTAGATTGAAGAGGGGGAAGTGGCGCGGTGCTGAGAGTCAACTGCTTCTTCCGTGGAGCGAAGCCGCACAGCCGTTGCCGGAGAGCGCTGCCTTTTTCCTGGGACAATTTGGCTTTTAAAACAACCACCCGTGAGTACTTAAGTTTTGGACAATTGGACTCTAAATAGGGATTTGCGAGCAGAAAGGAAAACTGGACTTAAAAGTTTAATTTAATTTGGCACTGAAATGGGAAGGTCTAAACAGGAAGTCAGCCTTCCGTTTCTTTGTAGATAGATTAAAGCAAAGACACGGCAAACTAGAGTTCTGAAAATCGTTTCTAAAGGATTAACTTTCACCATTTAAAATTGTTGAACCCCCTTCGGAAGCAGGAGAAGAGGGGGGATTTTTTCCGGACTGTTTAAACCTGCAGAAGTGAGTGTAAAGTAAAGTAACTTTCCACCGTCTTGATCCTGGAGCGGGGGTCAGGACTGACTTTTTTTGAAGCTCATTGACCAGAGACAAACGTTTTTGACAGATAGCTAAAGGAAGAGATACATAGTGATTCCATTGTTCCCCTTCGCTTTTTAAAGGAACAAATACTGACAAAATATCTGAAAAAGGAAACTTTGTTGTTAGATCTGTTTTTAAAAGAAAAGAACAAATAGAAGTTCTTCCCCTAGAGGGAGCCTGTGAAACTGTAACCAATTTTGAACCGGGAGCCAGCAGCTGTTACAGATTACGATCGTGGGAATAGACTTCTGACCTTGCAGGACAATGTACTCAGAAGCTCTGTTGAGTGCTTTCTGTAAAACAAGTGCCCTATTGGAACAGCTACATGAGAAGACGGATTTTATGACTGATGCGATTAGACTGATGACTGATGCAATTAGAAATTTTGGACAGGCAGTGGGAAACTATATAGAGCCCACCCAGGAATCAGATCAGGAGTGTGCCCTGACAGAACAGATGAGGGAAGAGGATGTTGCTGAATCTTGGGCGCCAGAGATGGAGGGAGTTGCGGCCAAGCAGGAACATGAATTGAAGTTGGATTAGATAACCCTTGGGGTCCCTTCCAACTCTACAATTCTATGATGTGTGGCTGCTTGAATGGGTGATGATGATGACAACAACAACAACAACAACAATTTATTATTTGTACCCTGCCTATCTGGCTGGGGAAACTCTGGGCGGCTTCCAACAAAGATTAAAAATACATTAAAATGTCACACATTAAAAACTTCCCTGAACAGCCTTCAGATGTCTTCTAAATGTCAGGTAGTTGTTTATCTCTTTGACATCTGATGGGAGGGAATTCCACAGGGCGGGCGCCACTACCGAGAAGGCCCTCTGCCTGGTTCCCTGAAGTTTTGCTTCTTGCAGTGAGGGAACCACCAGAAGGCCCTGGGCACTGATGTGCTAGCAGGCCAGGCATCTGGGTATCAGGTCAGGTGCATGGCCAGCAGGTGTGGTGGCCCTGCTTCCTTCTCAGTGCTTTTGGTGTCCATGTGGAAAGGAACCTTTCGCACAGGGCTGGAGTGCCCATACCCTCCAACATCTCTCCAATGAAAATAGGGACGTCCTAAGAAAAAGAGGGACATTCCAGGATCAAATCAGAAACCAGGATGGCTTCTGTAAATCCTGGACTGTCTCTGGAAAATAGGAACACTTGAAGGGTATGGATTGTCCTGCCTGACTGCAGGAGATCCTTGTATTGTCAGTGCTAATGCCCGTCTTGATGATGCAGCCTTGCTGCATGATCCGACGTACCTCTGTTCAGTAGTGCTGGTACAGCCTCTTATGAGGCCAAGGCCTTGAATACTGCTTCATCGCCAGAACTCTGTATTTAAATCTGCCAGAAGTAAATTAGCTTAATCTTCTGCTTTATCATTCCACTGCTGACCGGAGCATCTTTTATGAGGGTGACTGCAGTCACCTTAGACCAGAGAAACAAAAGCACTTTTTACAAAGTGCATACCTTCAAAGGCTAGCTGCCTCTTATCTTCTGCTGCTTTCTATATATGCGCAATTAATTTAACACCCAGCTGGCAGTAAAATTAGGTGCTTCCTGAGCATTATGCTTTTTAAATTGCTTTTTTAATGCTAGCCAGCATATCGGAATTGTCCTGCTGAGGATGGGTCTAATATCCTCTCCCAAATTCAGCTGTGCTCACCACAGCCTGCATGAAGGAGAACAAAGTCCCTGTTGTAAACGTTAACGTTATATCCATAATTCCAACAGGCTCTCTGGAATCCTTATAAATCTTCCACATCCCGAGGAGGTTTTAAGATCCTCAGCTCTCAGATTCATTAAGCTGTGCATTCTATTACTGTAATAAGAATACTGTGAACTCCTAATAGGCAATCTTTGAGTGACCGCTTTATCCCATCCGCAACTGCAAATGTTAAACCTGGTGTGTGTTTTTTTAAAATCATTTGACAACTTTAGATATCTGGCAACTTAATACAGTCATTTTGAAGTTTTCACAATGGAAGAAGTTTAAAAAAAGAAAAGGACAGTATAGCATCTTCCAGGAAACCAGCTACATTAACTTCCTCTCTTTCCGGTCCCATCTTGATTTCCTGAAAATTTCACTTATAGTTAAGCACCTGTAGCCGACAAGCAAAACGGAGCCTTTCCCCCGACTTAGCAGAAATCAGTATTTCTTCTGAGAAATGTACTGGAGAAATGATGTGGTACAATACATGCCTACTCAAAAGTAAGCCCTGCGGAGTCCAATGGGACTTAAATCACAGGTATGTGTCTGCACGATTATAGTCTGAAGCACATCGACAAGCCATTTTGGACACTTCAAGCAATTTTTTTTTTAATCACGAAAATATAAAAATAAGAAAGCAAAGAGCAATTTTTTAAAGGGTTTACTATTCCTTTCAGTGTAAAAGACCCAAGGAGTAAGCTTCTACTCAAAGGAAAAAAAAACCCTTTAACAATGCAGTGTTACACATCTTCTCAAAAGCAAGTCCCACAGTGTTCATTGGAACTTACGGTAAGTGTGCTTATCCATTTACCTGGAAGTAAGTCCCGCTGAACTCAATGAGAGTTCTCAGCAGACATGCATAGGATTGTTGAAGGTGACTCAGAAGCTATAACCAATCCAGAACGCGGCAGCTAGACTGGTGACTGGGAGTGGCCACTGAGATCATATAACGCTGGTCCTAAAGGATCTTCACTGGCTCCCAGTACATTTCCAAGCACATTTCAAAGTGTTGATGCTGACCTTTAAAGCCCTAAATGACCTCAGCCCAGTATACCTGAAGAAGCGTCTCCACCCCATTGTTCAGCCCGGATACTGAGGTCCTCCTCTGAGGGCCTTCTGGCGTTTCCCTCACTGCGAGGAGTGAAGTTACAGGGAACCAGGCAGAGGGCCTTCTCGGTAGTGGCACCATCCCTTCAGATGGCAAGGAAATAAACAACTATCTGACTTTTAGAAGACATCTGAAGTCAGCCCTGTTTAGGGAAGTTTTTAAGGATTGATGTTTTTATTATGTTTTTAGATATGTTGTAAGCTGCCCAGAGTGGCTGGAGAAACCCAGGGCGATGGGCGAGGTATAAATAATAAAATTATTATTGTTGTTGCTCTGAGTTGTTGATAAAAAGCCACAAAGGAAGGGGCCAAGCAGAGCACATGCAGGTGTGTGCTCCCAAGAGGCAGCCTAAAAAAGCTTACAGCAAGTCTTAAAGGGTAAAGGGAACCCCTGACCATTAGATCCAGTCGTGGCCGACTCTGGGGTTGCGGCGTCATCTCGCTCTATAGGCTGAGGGAGCCGGCGTACAGCTTCTGGGTCATGTGGCCAGCATGACTAAGCTGCTTCTGGTGAACCAGAGCAGCGCACGGAAACGCCGTTTACCTTCCCGCCAGAGTGGTACCTATTTATCTACTTGCACTTTGACGTGCTTTCGAACTGCTAGGTTGGCAGGAGTCTTACTTGTTTATTTAATACTTGCTGTGTGCTATTACTATGTTAAAAGTGGGAGAGGTGGAGAGGGAACATAGGGGAGAAGATGCTCCCACAGCAATCCAGAACCCAGCTCACTAAAGGCTTTAAAAACATAAGAACTAGTACCTTGAATTGGGCCCACTTCTTTATTGGAAGTCGCTACAGTTGGCAGCCTAGCGAAACTCCTCACTACTCCACTTCAAAAACTTCACTCTATTATAGCGAAGAACAACCACGCATCTTTTGGCACACATTTTCTGTTTCCGAAACTTACTTTTCTGCTTCTAAAAAAACCCCAAAAAACCCGTTTAACTCAACTGGTATTATCCTTAAAAGTAAGAGAACTGAAACTAATTATAGGTGTCAAAATAAATAAGGAGATAGTAAGCCGTCAGAGGTTTTCTTAAGCTACATGAAAGTACAGCCCCCAACAAAAACCAACCTATGTCTGATTTCTTTCCATGCATCCATGGCTATTGAGTCTCTGTGATTCTCTTGTTTGAGATTTAGCTGCAACATGCATTTGTTTGGAGGAGATATGTGAGGGCTCCTCACATATACAGGGCTCCCTGTATAGGTTCATTTAGAGATGTACATTTTGTATTTCCTTGCTCTGTTTCTGACTACATACATAAAACAGAATTGTAAATGTTTAGCAGAATCAAAGCTATTCTTAGATCCCTACAGTTCCACTAAGTTAGTTTTCTCTAATTTGTGCAATGAAAGAGGGGGGAGAGGAAATGTAGGATATTGGCTTTGGGTTTAATTCAGACTAAGCTAGTTGCACTTTAGTCCCTGGGAATCAAAGTTAGTTAGGATGACGACTGAAGCCCCATTGATTTCAATGAGGACTGGGCTCAAGTTAGTCTGAATCCAATCCTTGAGTCAACTATTTTTTCCTCAGAGTTAGACCCACTGAAATCAAAATAACAACTGTAAGTAAAACTTAGCTGAATATTGCATGTTCTTTTTTCCCCTTTTTTTGTCTTTATCTAGGGCTCCCACATCATTGCAATGCTGTAGCCATTGAAATTTGGGGATTGGCCCAAGGATTTAAAAGGAAGCTTTTAAAAGTACAGTGGTACCTTGGTTGTCAAACTTAATCTGTTCCATGAGTCCCGTATGACTCCCAGAATGGTTCAAAAACCAAGGCACAGCTTCTGATTGGTTGCTTCCTGCACTCAATCAGAAGCCGTGTAAACCGTGCCAGACATTCGGCTTCCAAAAAACGTCCGTAAACCGGAACACTCACTTCCTGGTTTGCGGCATTCGGGAGCCAATTTGTTCGGGAGCCGAGCCATTCAGGAACCAAGGTACCACTGTATAGGACATAGACATATTCACCAAGATAGCTCAATTGGTTAGAGCATGGTGCTGATAATGTCAAGGTTGCAAGTTCGAGTCCCGTATAGGACAGCTGCATATTCCTGAATTGTAGGGGTTGGATTACAACATGATCCTCAGGGTCCCTTCCAACTCTACAATTCTATGGTTCTATGATTTCCAGAGAAAGGTTTGTTAGGAGATTGTTTAAGCAGGAGTACCTGTTTGTGTGAAGCACGATTCGCTACGAATGCCTTCATGACATAATCTGTGCACCAAATCCGTATGAGGAGTTCACAGAAAGAGGCATTCTTGGTGGTGACCTCACTGTTTTGGAACTTCCCCCCAGCAAATAAGCCTTCCCATTTGAACTGGATTCTATTTGGGATTAAGCATATATAAACCTGACTATGGAGCAGTGATCCATGCAGCAGTTTTCAAATGCAAAGGCATTCCGGCAACTCGAGAGATCCATCCGTTTCAGATGCCTGGAATTGTAGCAGGGAGCTTCTCCATGTAAAACAAGCACTTTGGCAATGCACTACAACTCCTTTATCATGTACCTAGCCACAATTAAACCTGTGTTCCATGAAAGGAAGACAAATCCTCTGCTATGACAGGTAGCTGGCAAATAAGCCAAACTTAACCGGCTGCTTCTATAATGAAGCAATTTAGACTTTGTAAGATTTTGTGTGCTTTTTTCTGAGCATGACACTTCTGAGCATCGCAGCTCAGGTCCCTTTCAGACTACCTAACACTAGGTAACACGGACTCATCAGTCACAGAATCATAGAGTCAGAAGGGTCCCTAAGGAGCATCTAGTCCAACCCCCTGCATTGCAGGAATATGCAGCTGTCCTGTCCCTTATGAGGTTCAAACTTGCAACCTTGGTGCTATCAGCACCATGCTCTAGCCAACTGATGTTGAAGTAGTGGAGAAACAAGCTTGGCATCCCAATCAGGTTAGATGAAGTCATCACCTTCATTTTCACAACTCAAAAATTGATCGGCATGGGATGCGATGGGATTTTGTGCAAGGGTGTCTAGTAGCTGAAATCCCATCGATTGCAGTACGAACTAATCAAACTGTGCCCAATGCCTGATGAGCTCTTGCAGCCTGATGCATACGTCCCAGTTTCTCGGTAGCGGCCATATCTGAGCTGTGGGAGAAACTACTTTGCTATCCTTAGCTATGGAGGCTGGGAGCTTCTGAAAGCTATTGTGCTAGCCAGATTTGAGCTGCCTGCAGCCTAGCCGCCTAAGCCTAGCCAAGGGGCGTGTTTCATGCACATCTTGGGGCAGTTAGTGGAATTTGGTACGGAGCTTTTCCTTCACAGGTCACCTTTAGAGGAATGCTTTGCACATATGAACTATCTCAAGCTCACCAAGCAGCTTATTAGTTTCAGGCCGTGGCCCCCATACTCTTATGCTCTTGATAACTTTATTAAACGCAGCCCTGCTTATTCATCTAACTGAGCGGCCTTTTAACTATTTGTCGATAGTTTGAAGTAGCCATCCTTGGGCAGTGATGGCTTCCAGATCTCACCAAGACGAGCACATATGTTTGAAATGCCTGCTCTCCTTCTCCATTTCGCCATAAAGTAGCCAATTTAATTTTGCACAATATCGTTTGATAACAAACATGTGTGTATGTGTCTTCTGCATTTAGACACTTCAGAGAAGACCCTGCTTGGTCAGTGTGGGAGATAATTTCACGAGGAAAAATGGAACCAGATGTCCCTCCTTTCATTCTCCCTTCTCAATCCAGCTAATTCCCAGTGTCAATCACACTGTAGAGACATGCCACAATTGTCAGGCGAGGCCTCCCGCTGTATCTCTCTGCAAGTTGCTACACTGGACATGCCCCCGTCCGGTCTTTTCCTGCATTCCCAATTTTAATTCAGAAGAACAACAGCGCCTTGCTTATCAGAAGTCTAGAGAAACAGCGAGTTGGGTCATGTGGAACTTAAAGAGATCTGACGCTGCAGCTGACTAAACATTGATTCAAATAATGCTCCCAGAAGATACAGTACCATTTCATTTACCGAGATTGCTCAGTGGAGATCTAAGCTCCGTAAAAGATAATTGGAGATTTAGCTAAAGTGGATCATAGGAAACTGCCTTACAATGAGTCAGGCCATTGGTCCATCAGGCTCAGAACTGTTGACACTGATTGGCAATGGTTCTCCAGGATTTCAGACATAGGCCTCTCCCAGAACTACCTGGAGATGCGAGGGATTAACTTGGGACCTTCCAAATGAAAAGCAGATGCTCTACCGCTAAGTTTCAGTCCTTCCCCTTCTTGTTACGTAGCATAACACTGATGTGAAGATACAACAGGAACCAAAAGGGCATTGGCACAGATAGGAGTTTTGTAACCCTTTGCAAAATGATATTTGTATGTTAAATTGTAAAATGTAGATGTGTGGCTGGGCAGCAGTTGTCCAAACCATGGTGAGATAGAGGACCAGGTGACAGACTGGTTAAGTTCCCATCAGCTGAATGCATTATTTTCATTAGACACACACACACACACACACACACACACACACACAGGATTTGCAGAACAAAATTCGCAGTTTGAAAGGGAGTTACTAGGCTCCAGGGTTTCAACAATATCTAAAGTATATAACCTACTACTTGAGTGGGATACAAAGGACAAAATGGTGAAATCTTCAATGATGAGTTGGGCCAGAGACGTAGGACACAATATTGACTGGCTGGTCAAGAAGAAAGAGGAAGCTGAACGGAGCACAAGGTGTCTTGATTTTTTTAAATTATGCATTGCACATCCGTGTCTAATCTTGCCTTTTCTAGAACAAAAGAAGAGTGGCAGATGAAGATGATGGACTTTGCAGAACTGGTGAAGCTGACAGAAAAAATCTGAAACCAGCACAAACAATAAAAACATCACATAATAAAAGAGCAGAATCGAATTTATTAGGAATTTTGAATGGAGACATCCCAAATGACAAAATTAATATTTTCTTGTACGTGACAACAGCAGCAAGACTGTTTATATAATTGGAAAGGAAATTACGTTCCAACCAAAGAAGAATGGTTGAATAAATTATGCGAATACTTGGCATTAGTAAAGTTGACTTTTTTGATAAGACAAAAACAAAAAAATATAATCCACAAACAATGGAAATGTTTAAATGATTATTTATGTAGACAAAGTTTAAAAGTAAGGTATTGGTTGTGTTTAGAATAGATTTATGAAAGATTTGGAAAACTTATTGATTAGAATATTTGTGTGAGATTGTATGGGAAAAATACGGAATAACAGATACAATCTTGCTTAAAATGTATATAGGAAGTGCAGTGTAAGCAATGGAAGTCAATCAATGAAATTTTATTATTGAGATATTTGTAGGATAAATTTGGAAGAAATTCTTCCAACTTTTCTTCTTTATGTTTTTCTCTTTATTTTTTCTTTTTCTTTTTTCTTTTTATTTTCTTCCTTTTTTCTCTTTTGTTCTTTTTTTATATATGTGTGCTTATCTGAAATATATATGTATGTATGTATTTGGAATATTTTGCTTACATTTTGTAATAATTATGTTAAATAAATTAATAAAATTTAAAAAATAAATAACTAGAAGTACCAACGAAAGAAGAGTGGCAGATGAAGATGATGGACTTTGCAGAACTGGCGAAGCTGACAGGAAAAATCCAAAACTAGCACAAACAAATATTCCAAAAAGACCGGAGTAAATTTGTACGATATCTGAAAGATCTTTGTAAGCAATTAACATCACCAGCAGAGTTTTGCCTGAAGACTTGTAATGAGGAATTTTCTACCTTTCTCTATTTATTTAAATTTTTGAAATACTCTGCAGTGAGTGTAGTAATTAGAATTGGAAAATGTATACATATATCGCAAGGATATAAAGGTTAATTCTGACAGCCACAAGGCAGGAGAGAAGGAAGTCGACAGGCTCTAAGAGCCAAGGTGGTATAGTGGATAAAGATGATGAGAATGTATAATATTAAATGGAATAATAATAATAATAATAATAATAATAATAATAATAAATAATCTTGCCCCTTTCAAAAATTTATGTATTGCTGCGTGTGCTTTTTGCTTTTTGTAAACCTACCAAAGAATAAAATGAAATAAAATTGGGGTTGAAGGGTTTTCTCACAATGGAGGAAGGCATGTGTGCTGTGTCCCATTGGTGGTGTTATGTACTGAAGTTCTCACCCTGGGCCAGCAGGGGGATACTGTAGATAGTTATGCAAATGAAGGATCAAAAAGTGACCTTCAGTGATTGGATAGTTTTGTATGCAAATGAAGGATCGAAAAGTGACGTTCAGTGATTGGATAGTTTTAGAATGTTGCAACAGTTACAATTGTTCTGTAGCTCTATATAAGCAGGCTGACTGAGCTCCTCAGTTAGTTCTGTTCCAGCTTACAAAATAAAGAGCTGCTTTGGAGAAATCGCGGTGTCGTCTGCTATGTCAACCCACAACTTAACAGGTGGTGGTCCTTTTTCTGACAGGAAACGCTCTGCAGGGAGAGGAGACCCCAAAAAATAGTGAGTTGAAGAGGGTCAGTAGTGGGGGAGTGAGAAATGTCCCTATTTTCACCCGAGGAATGTTGGAAGGTATGCTATCCTTGCCTGGTCATTTTCTTTCTGTCTTACTAGTTAAAGAGGTCTTGCAGGTTGCCCAAGGACCATGATGAGAACAGGGTGAGGGCAATAATAGCTTCTCACAGGCAACAATAGCTCTGTGCAAACACCTTTCCGTTTCTGGAAAAGTGTACCTAGTCTAACAATAAAAGAATTCAGGAAGATCGTGTGTAAGTCAAATTTCTTGGATGTTTAGATTCTGTGCTTCGTTTCAGCCTCTACAGCCTTGCCAGAATACACACATTCTGATTTATAACATGGCAGACTATAAGTAGGGATGAACGTCACATTTGGATGGATCTTGAACCAAAACCTTGGACTTGGAGGATGCCTGAGCCAAACCAGGATCTCTCCAAATCAAAGCAAGCACCTCCAAACATTTTCAGGTGTTTCGGACATTTAAAAACACAGTGCAGAGAGTAAGAGTCTGAAAACTGAGAAATTTTACCCTGAGCTGGCCATATAAGGAAAATGCCAGAATGGGGAGAGGGAGGGAGGTATTTGTGACTGGCAGGTCTGGCTTCAAATAAGAGGGAGTGATTTTACCAGAGGTCTCCAATGCCAGTGCTTTGGGGAGAGGACACTGAAGTAAGGTATCACCTTGTTCTTGTCTGTCCTGGGCTCTTTGCTAAATCTGCCTAGTGGTGCTTGCTTAGAAAATGCTGGACATTCGAGTCCTGTTCTATATGCCCACACATCCACACTTTGTCAAATCCATTTTGCACTTCATTTCTGCGACTTTTAATGCCAATTGAGCTGAACAGAAGCCTGAAGCTGTTATTTCATAATTCCCTCACCCTTGCAGCTATCCTTCTAAAATTTCCGGGATAGTTTCCTAAGGGCACCTCTATAGAGTATGCTCCCCACCCCTACCCCCCATAATAAAATCATTGCCCACAAAACCACAGGGAGGGAAGCGAATCCCATTTGGTCTCCTTCCATAATCAACTTTAAAGGCACTACCTGAGCACAAAAAAACCCTGGAACTATTTGCCTATAATATAGTAGATTTCTTACCTAAGGGTACCTCTACAATGTATGCTATTTTCATACAAATTGCCCATAAATCAATAGAGATTAAATGTATCTTTTTTATAATAATAAAAAACACCCCGAAATTATAATGGAAAACCACTGTCCTTCTGACTTTGCAGAATTTATCCCCCCAGTAGGGGCTACCATGAAAATTACATCCCACTCTATCAAAAACTTTAAAAAGGTTATAGATGGGTCTTTGGACAGGTTTTGAAATGTGCTCAGTAAAAAACACCTTGGATCTTTTTGTAGATCCAAGTAGAACAGTCTCCCTTGGGTAGTTCCAAGGGTGGAACGGGTGATACAGAGGTATACTGTGTGTACGACATCTATATGGTTGTTGCAGGTACACTGATGACTGCAACACAGATCATGAATTGGGGGAGGATGTTAGAATTCCTGCTCCATGATTGCAGTCATGGGATTGTTGTCTATCACATGATGGTATATGTTTTGACTCCACAGAGTGGGAAGTGATGGCGACAGGATGTTTGTGTTACTGTGTTCCGTGAAGTGGGACTATTGTCCTTTGTTCTTTTTCTCTTTGCTGTCTGATGCTAGAGAGAGAGGGAGCCATCTTGCAGTGCTCCATGTGTGTTTATATGTAAATAAAGTAGATTAGCCAAAATGCTGAGTTGCTGAGGTCTGTCACACGAGATGCGCAAACTCTGCAGATCCCTAAGTGTGCCGGTGTCGGTTGGCACCGGTTGCTGTGATGTTCGGGCTGAAGAAAGCTTATGAAGCTCCCGAACGATCGACCAGGAGGGAGGGAACATGCCAGTCGGGCGTGTGTCTCTGCCAGGGTTCTACTCGAGTGTAGGCTGAACTCCTGAGAGTGGAATCTCCTTCCTTGGAGGTTTTTCAGCAGAGGTTGGATGGCCATCTGTCATGGATGTTTTAGCTGAGATTCCTGCATTGCAAAGAGTTGGACTAGATGGCCCTCAGGTCTCTTCCAACTCTAAGATTCTATGATAGGCATTATGCATGCAGGTGGGACTACTATGACTGCAATTCTTTTGAGAGCAGGGTAGAATCATGGCCGTTTGTCGATTTCCCCATAATGGTGAATGAGGGAGGCATTTTTATGAATTGGAATTTCCCTCTGATGCTTTGACACAAGGGGTAGGGAGCTCTTGCAAGGGAGAGTCGATGGGCAGGAGGGACCTTTCTATTTCATACCAATTCTCCTTTAAAGGAGCGTCTCTACCCCCATCGTTCTGCCTGGACACTGAGGTCCAGCGCCGAGGGCCTTATGGCAATTCTCTCACTGCGAGAAGCTAAGCTACAGGGTACCAGGCAGAGGCCTTCTCGGTAGTGGCAAACGCCTTGTGGAACACCCTCCCATCAGATGTCAAAGAGATAAACAACTACCTGACATTTAGAAGGCATCTGAATGCAGCCCTGTTCAGGGAAGTTTTTAATGTGTGACATTTTAATGTATTTTTAATCTTTGTTGGAAGCCGCCCAGAGTGGCTGGGGAAACACAGCCAGATGGGCGGGGTACAAATAATAAATTATTATTATTATTATTATTATTATTGCAAACGTCCACCCCAACTGGTCTCCAAACTTTGTATCCTGATAGATGGAAAAGAATCTCAGGGATGCGTTTGACGATGAGAATCTGCAGTTGTAGAAGAGACTAAATTAGTGATGTGCCAAAAATGTACTCTGTTCACACATTTAGCTGCCGCCAGGAGGAGGAAGCGGTGAGCGTGCTTGTGTGCACTAATGTTTAGTTCCATTTAGAAAAAGCAGGGCAAACTTCTACCGTGCAAATTCCTCTACACTGTGAAGTGAGTTCCCATGACTATTTTAGTACAGTGAGATTCTTAGCGGCCTTTTCGTCCTGGTCAAAAAATGGCATTTTGCTAGTCAGCCAGAACAAATCAGTCGGGTGTGTGAACCAACCTTCCCTTTAGGCATCGAAGTGCAGGTTTAAAAGCGTTGACGAACAAATCTCAGTAAGGGGGAAACCCAACAACACAAGTCATTCCAAGGCTGTTAGCTGGGTGAGTCAAGTATACAGTGCAAGGATTCCCAGCCTTTTTGGAATGGAGGGCACATTTTGACTTTGGAGAGAGTTCTGGGAATGCCAGTCGCAAATGGCTGCCATGGAGGGGTGTGACATAACACAAAATAGCTGCAAAGGGCAGCGTAGTAACACAAAATTAAGGAGACAACCATCCCCGACAACCTGATGCTTACCATGGGAAGTCAGCTATGTCTGCTGGTTCTGATTATGGAGATCGCACACACAGAGAGATGCCATTGCTATCTAGTAACAACAGGGAACATTCCACAGTAGCAGAACAAAATGCATGGGGTGGCCACACCACTCTTAGAAATTGCTTAGAAGGTTCCTGCATATTTTGCCCCATAACCTTCTTTCTAGAAGGGCAAGATACACACACACACACACTTAGGATTTGGGGGCACCTTCATGGGTACCAGATTGGTGACCCCTGTGACCTCCTGCTATTCTATGCTATTTATTTCAATGATCCAAATAATTAGTTAACTCATCATAAAGAGGCTTGTGTCTTGGTGCCTTTGGCTTACTACAGAAGCAAAACTTACAGACCCTCCAAGTGTCCCTATTTTCCAGGGACATCCCTGATTTGGAGAAGCCGTCCCGGTTTCTGTTTTGATCCTGGAATGTCCCACTTTTCCTTAGGATGTCCCTACTTTCACTGGAGAAATGTTGGAGGGTAGGGTCTGAAGGCAATTCTGTATAGGGAAGTGTTTTTTAATTTTTTAAAATGCTTTTATATATGTTGGAAGCTTCCCAGAGAGGTTGGGGCAACCCAGCAAGATGTGTGGGGTGTAACTAGTAAAATCATCATTACGGAATGGGACGTCCCCATTTTCATTGGAGAAATGTTGGAGGCTGCCATATTTTTGGGATTTCAAAGGCGGAATTGACGTCTGGTGGGAATTTCAAGACATCGAGTCAATCGGAGAATTGTGTCTTCTTGGCTTTTTTTTTTTTTAAACGAAAAAGCTCAGTAACTGTGGCAGGTTTTTTTTTTAAAAAAGCTCTTCAAAGCTCAACAATTTTGGAGTCTTCCTAAAAAAGCTCAACAACTTTCAGGGTGCTCTGGCGTTTACTTTTTGAAACATGGCAACCTTAATTCACTTCCCCTGCTAGCCCTTGCTGGTTTGTAATGGAGGCCGTCCCTTAGGGAAATGGTGTATTTTCCACCAACCTCAGTCTGCCGTCATCCAACCTCCACCTTCGTTTCTGTGCTGCCTGTGCAGATCTCAGCAGAAGGGAGGATAAGGGCCAAAACTAGAATCAGTTGGCTATGACTATCACTGGCTCTGGCTCCACCTACTGTGGGACTTTCTGCCTACCAGCCAGTGCTGTCTAGAGAAGGTGCTGAGAAAGTCAGTTGACTCCACTTGTTGGAAAAGGGGAAATTTCCCGACTTACAACTTCCAACTGTACATGGCTTTGGTTCATGGAAGGGTTCTGGTGTGGCTTTGTCATTATTTACTCATCGGGGGCATGTTTTTCAATCTCTTCTTTCCGTTTAAATATCCCTCAAGGCAGTTTGCAGTGCAAATAAAAAAATTTAAAAGTCGCACAAAAGGTACATCTGCACTGCTTTCTCTTCGCACCCGCAGATCTGGACCATCAAAGTCTGTTATCTGGGTTGTGCGTCTATTGACATCTGCCAATTTGTTTCCAGCTGTTGAGCATCATTCCACACCTGATGGGTGATGGCATATAAAACTTTCTCAGTGACTGAGCAATTTGGGGGTATTTCAGCAGGTTGATTGCTTTGAATTTGCAAAAGTGGCAGAG